ATTAAGAAAATTAGGACAAAGTTGGGGAAAAATAGGCGAAAAAATAGGGCAAAATAGGGAAGAATAGAGAAAAAAAGAGAGAAATAGAGAAAATAAAAGGGAAATCGGGAAAATCAGGACAAAATAGGGAAGAAAAAAAAAATTGGTTAAAAAAAAAAAAAAAAATCTGGAAAAATAAAAAAAATCAGGAAACCGATTTAAATCGGGTTTTTATCAGGCCTGTACACTGATGACCGTAATTCATCAGTGAACAGCGCTCAAAATACACGGGGGCAATGGGCGATTTGCCCCTATGAGCTCCATAATCGCCCCCGTCAGGTTGCCCACGGGGGCGATTGCAAAATAAAAAATCGCCCCCGTGGAATTATATAGATTATCTTTTCTTATATAATTTTCAAACCTTAAACCAATGAAATGGAACTTAGATGGCGCTTTCCCTCCCATCTCTGAGTATTACCGATACAAAAAACGGAAGCTCGCAGTGCACAGCTAATGCGGCCGTCGTACTGCGCCGGTACTACCGGTGTGCACGCTGACGCCCAATATCTGCTGGAGCTGGAGACGATCGCGCAAGGACCCCAAGGACTGAAACATGGAGAATTTTTTCGTTGTGAAAAGTGTGAATCCTCTGAAATCTGGTTGTTCTAAATGACCAGCAAATAATGTAACTCGACCAATAAATCAATATTGAGAAGAAGATCAGCAAAGATGTTGCAGGGGCGGATCAAGGCGGTTTAGGGGTTTAATCCCCCGATCCCCCTTGGGCTGCCAAGTGAAAATGTGATGTGCATAGAAAAATGCTATCATGTGTCCAGACCTACACAGTAGTAGTAGATTTCAGTAGATGCCAGGAAAACATCACTAACGGGGGTTCAAAATAGCACCAAAAAATCGCCTCGCCGCTTCGCGGCTCGTAGACAATGCTCCGCATGTTAGTAGATGCCAGGAAAACATCACTTACGAGGGTTCAAAATAGCAACAACAAAATTCGCCTCGCCGCTATGCGGCTAATGGACGATGCTCCACATCGTAGTTTGGTTTGCCCCACCCTTAGCAAAAAGCTAGATCCGCCCTTGTGTTTTGGAAGGATATGGTAAAGACTAAAAGTAAAGAAAGAATGTAAATAAGGTTGCTCCGAATAATGAGGAGGACATTATGTGCAGAACGGGAAGAAATGGAGAGAATGTCATCACGGGCAGGCGCGGATCCAGGATTTCTTAGGGGGGGGCGAATTTGAAATTATGCGAGCCAAATATTGGTACGTACATGTAAGCATTGACGTAATGGGGGGGTGCAGGAAGGGGCGATTTTCCCACTCCTTCCTCCGCAAAGGGCCGAAGCTTTGACGTTTCATTAAATCATTAGTGAAAGAAGGCGATTCGTTGCCCGTTCTCGAAAATAATCCTCGTCTGAATTCAGTTTACCCCCCCCCCCCCACCTCTTGCACGAAGCGCGGAAGCTTTGACGTTTCATTAAAGTATTAGAGAAAGAAGACGATTCGTTGTACCGTTCTCGAAAATAATCCTCGTCTGAATTCAGTTTCCCCCTGCCGCGCGAAGCGGAAGCTTTTACGTTTCATTCAATTATTAGAGAAATAAGATGTTTCGTTGTACCGTTCTCAAAATAATACTTGTCTGAATTCATTTTACCCCCCCCCCCCCCCCCCCCCGCGCAAAGCGCGGAAGCTTTGACGTTTCATTAAATCATTAGAAAAAGAAGACGATTCGTTGTATCGTTCTCGACTCTTAATCCTTATCTAAAGCCAGCCCCACCCCCCCCCCCCCTCTCTTGAACGAAGCGCGGAAGCTTTGACGTTTTAATTAAAGGATTAGAGAAAGAAGACAATTCGTTGTACTATTCTCGACTAGTAATCCTTGTCTGAAGCCAGCCCCACCCCCCCCCCCCCCCCACTCTTGCACAAAGCGCGGAAGCTTTGACGTTTCATTAAAGTATTAGAGAAAGAAGACGATTCGTTGTACCATTCTCGATTCTTAATTCTTGTCTGAATTTGTTTCCACCCCCCCCCCCCTCCCCCGCAAAGCGCGAAAGCTTTGACGTTTCATTTAAATTATTAAAGAAAGAAGACAATTTGCTGTACCATTCTCGACTCGGCTCAAGGGTTTTAGGCACTAAATTACGGTCAGCTGAGTATCAAGGGGCCCGACTTTGGGCCCTTGGTTGGGTCCAGGGCCAGAGCCCCGGAAGCTCAGGGATTTTAGGCGTTTAATTACAGTTAATACCTTATTTTATAAGGTTAATACCTTATTTTGTTGTGACACTGGCAGTTAACAATTTTTTCTTACTTGCTCTCTTTCTTTCCATTTCTCTTTATATACTATTTCAAAAAAAGTGGAGGGGGGGGGAGGGACCTCAAGGCTCCCGATCCCCGCCGTTCCCCGGGCCCTGACGTGTAGGCCCCTAGGCATCTCAAGAAGCATATTTCTTGCCTGGCTGTAAATTTAGGAATTTGTCATTTTACAAGAAACGCATAAAAAAGTATAATTTACTAAAAAATCTCAGAAAATTATGTCATTTCAGCATTACAGTATGTGTAAACCACCGTTATGGAATTAGAAATAAACCATGTTTGAATTTTATTTCCCCCGAGCCCCCTCCCCAATCAGTCCGCCAGTGCCCCCCCCCCCCCTGATTTACACTTTGTTAGCAACTGATCTCCCCTACGTTTTTTCTTTCCCTTTCTCTCCTCCTTCCCTTTTCTTTCCCTTCCTTCGCTCTCTTTTAGGTTTTCTATCTCCCCTTCTTTTTACCCTTTTTTTTCTTCTTCCTCTCTTTTGGTCCCTTTTAGCTCTCCTTTTTTCATTTTCCTTCCTTCTCTCTTTTTTTTTTAGCGGGGGCGGGGGGAGGCAAAGGCCTTTTGCCCCACCCCCATCCCGATCCGCAACTTGTTGGCGGGAAAATTGCAACTGATATCCCCCTTCTTTTATTTACTTCTTTCTCAATTTTCCTTCCCTTTATTTCCTCTTTAGTGACTGGTCCCTCAGAAACTAGTGCTAAGCCAGTCACAGAGAATTCATGATTTCTACTGATGCCTGTCAGTGCATTGTAAATTGGATTTTTCTTCAAATTTCATTTAAAAATCTTATTATATTGATAAATATGGTGCATTGGCGTATGGGCTATGGTTGGAGCGTTGGATGCGTTGAACAGCGTTGGTGTATTATGAGGATTTATCGTATTCATATTCTGAATATTTTCAGCGAATTGAATAATATTGAAAAGGATGCAATTCACAGTTGTACTTGATAATTCTCACTTAACATATTCTCTCTCTCTCTCTCTCTCTTCCTGTCTTGCATTAAGAAAATATGAAAATAATATTTTGCCTTGATTAAGAAAAATTGAAATTTTATCAGTATTAAACAGGGAGAAGGAAAGGGGAGGAAATTAATCAAAACAAATATTGAAGAATCCAATTCAGTGTTCTTTCGTGATTCATAAGAATGAAAGTACATTAAAAGGTGAAATAATAAATTGAAGAGCGATGATAAATAAATTCTTTGACGTTGATTGATGGAATAAAAAATAATGAAACAATATGGTCTGAAGGTCATATATCTTCAAATATAAGAAAGTTTCATCCACCATCGTGTTGTTGAAAACTATTTGCAATTTAATTTTAATGTGGTGACTTGTCGGTTACGAGCAGAAGGTCATTTCAGGCTTCTATATTCTATAATACTATTAACAGATATCTGGATAGAGACACCTCGTCACATCAAGCTACGAGAAAGTATATCATCATCTCACAGAATTCTACTCGAACACTGCATCAAAATTCTTTTCACCCTTCTTTTCTTCTTCCTCTTTTTTGGTCCCTTTTAGCTCTCCTTTTTTCCTTTTCCTTCCTTCTCTCTCTTTTTTTAGCAAAGGCAGGGGGAGGCAATATCCTGGGAGGCAAGGCCCTTTCGCACCCCCCCCCCCCCCCGATCTCCTTCTTCCCCCTTTTCTTTTCTTCTTCCTCTTCTTTCTTTCCCTTTCTCTCCTCTTTCCCTTTCCCTTCTTTTCCTTCTCTCTCTCTCTCTCTCTCTCTTTTGCGGAAGGGGGGGGGGGGGGCAAGGCCCACTCACACCCGCTGGATCCGCGCCTGCATCTACATTATATCTACTAACGTTAGACCCTAATAATGGATCTAGAAGATTGACTGACCTGGTCTCAGTGACGGGTAAACTTTTTTTTTCTCAATTACTTGGGCTATAACCATGAAAACCATCTAATTTTACTTTAGATTTTCAAACATTAACGTTACGACCTAAATTAGGCCTAAGGCCAAGGGCTGTACTCTACATTATAATAAAAAAATTAACGTTAACGTTAGACTTAACTTAAACTGTTGTTTCTCTGTGATACAAGTGGGATGGGAACACTTTTTTATTCAACAGCAAAAAAAAAAACTTTCCCCTTTTTTCTTTCCTTCTTTTTTTTTTCTTCTGTTTTTTCCCCTGGATCCGCCACTGATCACGGGGATAAAAGTATACAGCTATGTAACAAGTAAATTTCTAAGAGGGAAAATGCCGACTTAAATAAATGATAATGATAAAATACCAAGGAATTTAGGAGTTTCATGGGTACCAATTCAATGGAAATTTGTATTAAAATAAGAGACCGCGTCAGCACTAAAAGAGCCCCCGTGAGAAGGCTCACGGGGCTCTTTTTGGGGGGGAAGAGCCCCCGTGGACAAAAATTAATTTGAGCCCTGTCAGTGAACAAATGAACTTTCTCTGCAAAATACCTTAAGAAACACTCTGGCAGAGATAAATCCAAAATCATTAATAGTTGGAAGAAAAAGCAGATTGAAGATCGAAGATTAAAAAGAAGATTGTGGGTTCTGCATACACTGTACATCATGTAAAGCAAAATAATACACATTTAAACTGAAACACATTCCATGGATCAATTTGAACATAAAGTCAAAGTTAATTGTGGATATCTATAAGTACAATAATTAACTATTATAAATCAGGTAAGTGGTAAGGACTCACATTTTTTATTTGTATCTACTTGTTGACCTTGTCTCAGAGCAGAATTGACAGCCTGCAAACAAAAAGAAGAAAAAAACATATAGATATAATGGTGACTTCTCCATGTCTTAACACTATCTGCTTAAAGTAGCTGTGCAAAGATTTTAAAAAACTAACTTTATTTTCATTATTGACAATTTTATGAAAATTCAATGCTTAGAAAAATTCAAAGTAATGATTATTATCATCAATTACAGAACGCTTATATACTTAAGCAAGCAAGTAAGCAAGCAAGTATATACAGTAAGGCTGCGACGAGTAGTTGAATACTCAAGTACTCGCACTGTTGACAACTACTCGAGTACGATTTCTCGTACTCAAATAGTCAGCCGCCATTTTAAAAAATTTATTTTTCCCGCCCCTGGCACTGTCCAGGTCGATGCTTACCCGTGCCAGGGAGAGCACCAGCCGCCGGCATGGTACCGTGGGAAAAAAGGTTTCCCGGCTCAATCACTGTCAACTCACCACTCAGAAACTGGGCCAAATGTCCGGATTTCTGTTTGGGCTCGGAGGAAAATGGATTATTCTGTCATCTTCAGTTTTTAAAACAGCATTGTTACTATTATTATTATCATTAAATAGGCGCCTTCAACTGCAACTCGAAGTAAACTGCATGGTATTATTTTGATGAAAAATGCAGCGATAAAAAAATAAAGGACGTTTGTTGCTTGTAAACTAAATAAGATGCCATTGTATTTCCAGCTGCATACACCGCTCTTCAAATGCCTTAATATTCTAAATAATTCTGAACGATTTTTCAATTTTCCATTTGGGATCGTTTTTTCCCATTTACTCAGAATAATACTTTTCAAATTTCAAGACTCACCAATGTTTCTATCAAAAGATAAAGCCCCCTAAAATTTATTTTGTTTTGCTATATTTAGCAAAAAACAAGTGGCAAATCTCAGAGCTACGATGGAAACAATATTTAAATCGCTGTTTTGACCAAAATAATTTTAGAATTTGGAGATGACGCCCCTTCAGAAATATGGAGATCAAACTGCTCTTTCATATGACACCTCATTTATCTTGTTTATTGAGTATCACCTTCAGGATCACAAGAAATAAAGGTCTGAATCACAATTTGGTCATAAACAGATTGACCAATTTTGCATGATCGCGCAATGCACATAGACTGTATAGAGATATGTGCAATCTCTATGGGAAGGATTTTAGCAGACAACATCGGATGCACGATCAGACACCCTACAATTACACAAAGTTTCTTTCACAATGCAATCGCATGAACAGAACTCAACTTTATCTTTAAGTTGAGCTTTAGTTAAAGGTACTATATCTCTTGTGCAGCCAACCTCAAATTCTGTAGAACTTTGCAGGAATTATGAATATGTCATGTATGTCCTATCAGTGAAATTTAAATGTTAGCAGTGTCCTAATATTCAAATTATGCAAGGAAACCCGTTTACTTGCTAGACTTTACTGTCAGACACTATAGAGTGACTGACTGGCTTTTTTTCTTCTTTGGTAATAACATACATAACTTGAGCTGTAAAGGGTACATGAGCAGTTGTCTACATCAATAACCCACTTCTTGTGATGGCCAAAATTAAACTGATTGAATCTTTGCGCAGCATAAAACGTACGACCATTTGGTACAATGGTCTGAAAATCAAGACTATTACTTATTGGCTCTATAGCTTCTAAGTCGATTTGACAACTAATAGTCGTTATTTTCCCACTTGAAGACATTTTCAAGCCCCACCTTTTTTAGGGAAGTTCTAAATTAGTATTAATCTTTCAAATACCATTGGAATTTAACCTTTTCATTTTTTTTTTGGCCTGCAAATGGGACATAGTAGGCCTACCTTTAAGCAGGTCCTCTCTCACTTAAATTCGAAGCCACTCGAGCGGATCGGCCAATGGGAGTGCATATTCTAAATGCAGTCATTGCGTAAATTTTTACGTGTGCAGGCCGCGGATACTGGGCAAATTTTGTCGTCAAGGTCGCCCGGTATTCGGTCAGACAGCCGTTTCAACAGCTGTAACAAACTAAAAGATAATTTGTGAGCTACGAAACTTGCACAATCAGGCAGCTGAACAACTTTCCTAATATAACTCAAATTAAATCAGGTAGGTAAGGCCTATAGCCATAGGCCCCGGAAATATCTCCAACTTAACTTGAAATTGGTTAGAGCCGCACAAGTTTCTGAACTTTGAGGTTCCGTTAGCCATATTTAAAAGCCTATTGCGAACAACTACTTGTGCTGGTGCAATGTGTGTTAGTGAAGAGTTGCTCTTCCATGTTTGCTCCATGATCCATCACAGCGAATTAGCAAATGACGCACTTTCCGAAGTGCAAGAGGTATTTACAATACCCTTGCTATGCGGTAGCGCTCGTCCAGAATTCGGTCGACACACTGGCATTCAATGCTTTGTCACGCAATTGTGTGAAATAGTGCGCAAATACGCTTCGCTCCTTGTCAACGGAGATACCACGCAATAATCGTGCGACCGAATACTGGGCAGAAAAATATTTTGCTTAGCATCATTCTATATTTTAAGTGACTTTAAAATCCTAATTTTCTTTTCTTTTGATGGGTAGACTAGATCTAGATTACCAAATAAGGAGGTAAGAATTCAAAATAGAAGTCTATGACTAGACTTATGAGTAGGAGTACGAGTAGACCTCTAGACCGAATTTTCTGTCTCTTTCGTTCGTTAGCCTCTTATTGGGGTAGGGTCAACTCTCTATTTAGAGACGGAAACAGACCATCGAACGACAGAGACGGAAAATTCGGTCTAAAGTACGAGTAGGTCTAGATCTAGACCTATATGACTGATGACTGAGCATGTTGAGCGATTAGTCAGTGACCGAATACTATACCAGGCGCGCTACCCGGACTCGGCCCAGCTGCAAAAACTGTCGTTTTTTGTCATTTTACCCTAACTCTAACCCTAACCCTTACCCTAACCCTAACCCTAACTCTAAACCTAACGTTAGACCTAACCCTCAACCAAAGTTAAACATGCAAAAACTGACCGTTTTTGTACCTGGGCCGAGTTGTCCCCTGGTCCGAGTTAAATAGCCCGACTCCGCGCTACCCTACTGTGGATTTATCCGCATTTGAGGTCTTGTTTACATGGTTTGCAACACAGGCAAATGCATGCCAAGTAAGGGCCTAACGATATCAAAATCATATTTCAGAAATCAACAGTGTGCAAGGCCTAGGTCTAGCCTACATGTATTATGTAAGTTAATGCGAGTGTGAAACCCCATATGTATCGCCTCGCGCGCACTGCAGACCACGCGAAGCGAAGTCAAATATCCTAGCCCGAGATCGAGAATCAACTCAAGTCAAGTCCAAAGGCGCTAATCAAAATTTGGCAAAATCAAACTTACTTTTGATGATCTCGCTTGTTTCGAAGACGGTGCCTTACGTCTTAAGTAAGTAACAGTATCCCAATCTTCTGCCATATTGGAATAATATGAAACACAGAATATACAGTGTAAAACAGGGTGTCTTTTTAGAGGTTAGTCTGACTCTGACCGCGACCGTCTGTTGTTTTTCGCTCGTTGAAGCTAGCTCGCGCTCGCGCTCGCGATCGCGACAAGGAGGAGCTGCGGAGAAGCTAGCCACGAAAATAGTGGCTGTAGGCCTAGTGTCTCCAATTCGGACAATCGAAAAGGAAAAAGGAAAAATATATTCTGCACGTCTCGGCTGGCGGTAACGGCAACAGGAGTAAGACATTAGATTTTTATGTTTTTAAAGCTATCTTATAACATTTAAACTAAATAACGACCTACACTATGGTAAAGCTAAAGGGTTACTCTTTACTTTCATATATGTCACATGCCAAAACTTCTTATCTGCGTCTTAAAGTTCGTGATTGAAGTAAGGACTCTCACCGGCAATTACGGGGTTTATCCGCACTATATACATGGCCAAAATACGTTTTCAAATTTGAAAGCTGTTAAAACTATCGTTTGACATTTTAAGTAAATAATGACCCAGACCATTGTATAGCTGCAGGCACGTAGCCACGGGGTGGGGCACTGGGGGCACGTGCCCCCCCCCCCCCCCCCCCCAAAAAAAAAAAAAAAATAATAATAATAATAATAATAATAATAATAATAATAATAATAATAATCCAAGATTGGTTAAACTTTTTAAGATCCTTCCGCAGGACGTCGATCAATGACAACATGTATGTGCCCCCCCCCCCCCCCCAACAAAAAAAAAACCATTAAACTCTGGCTACGTCCCTGTAGCTGAGATCTTTCTCTTTACTCTCTTATATGTCACATGCCAAAACTTCTTGTCTGGGTCTTATTGTTTCAGATTGAATTTAGGGCTCATACAAACCGGCATATCGGAATGCTATATAGCCGCACAATAATATACAATAATTGTATAATTATTATGGCGAAAATACGTTTTCTAACCCTATGGCTTCTAAAGCTATCGTACATGAAATTTAAACGAAATAATGACCTACACCCTGTTGAAGCTTGGATCCATATTATGCCACTTTCCGAAACTTCTAATTGTTTGGGCCCACTGCAGCTGCAGGCGCGGATCCAAGGTGGGGGGGGGGGGGGGAAGGCGCGGATCCAGGATTTCTGAGGGGGGGGGCCCACTTTTTTTGTTTTGGTCCCAAACAAAATCGCAACGACTCAGCCAGCCGCTAAATAGGCGGGGGGGGGGGGGGGGGGGTAAGAGTACACTTTTTTTAGTTTTTTGGTCTCGAAATTTGGAAAATTTAACATTTTGTTCCGTTGGGGTGGGTGAAGTTACCTTTTTTAGGTCAGCCATTGGCATAATTTTTTTTTTTTTTTTTTTTTTTTTTTTTTTTAAACATCACAAAAAGGGGGGTTTGCTCCAAAATACATCTCCCCCCCCCCCCCCCCCTGCGTACGTGCCTGCGTCTGAATACAGTTTTCCCTCTCCCGTGCGAAGCGCGGAAGCTTTTAGGTTTCATTAAATCATTACAGAAAGAAGTCGATTCGTTGTACCGTTCTCGACTCTTAATCCTTGTCTGAATTCAGTTTTCCCCCCCCCCCCCCTCTCATCCGCGCGCGCGAACCGCGGTAGCTATCACGTTTCATTAAATCATTAGAGAAAGAAGACGATTCGTTGTACCGTTCTCGACTCTTAATCCTCGTCTGAATTCAGTTTTCCCCTCCCCCCTCCCGCAAATTTCAAATTAAATCATTAGAGAAAGAAGACGATTCGTTGTACCGTTCTCGACTCTTACTCCTTGTCTAAATACAGTTTTTTCCCCTCCCGCGCGAAGCGCTGAAGCTTTTACGTTTAGTTAAATCATTAGAGAAAGAAGACGATTCGTTGTACCGTTTTTTTACTCGTAATCCTCGTCTAAATTCCCCCCCCCCCCCTCCCGCGGAAAGCTCGGAAGCGGCTTTTACGTTTATTATTAGAGAAAGAAGACGATTCGTTATACCGTTCTCGACTCTTAATCCTCGTCTGAATTCAGTCCCCCCCCCCCCCCTCCCCCCCCCCCCCCAATCCGCCCGCGCAAAGCGCGGAAGCTTTTACGTTTCATTAAATCATTAGAGAAAGAAGACGATTCGTTGTACCGCTCTCGACTCTTAATCCTTGTCTGAATTTCAAAAATGTTTTTTTGTCTGCACCTTTTTCTTCATACGTCCTCTTCCTTTTCTCTCCTCTCTTTTTTTTGGCCGGCGGTTTTGTTTTTGGGGAGGCGCCCCCACTGTCCCCCTGGCTACGCGCCTGCGGTCAGATGAACATCTTTTGATACCTTGTCCGCCCCCGGAAACTCATGGGTTGAAGGCAAATTACGGTCAGATAAGAATTCAGGGGCCCGCCTCAGGGCCCCTGGTGGAGTCGAGGGTGCGGAAACCCCTGAATCTCAGGGGTTTCAGGCATTATTTTGATTACGGTCAGATGAACATATTTTTATACCGTATTTGTGACGCTGGCAGGACACTGATTGGCGTGAGGTCCAGCGGACGGAGCCCCTGGAAGCTCAGGGGTTTTAAGCATTACATTACCGTCAGGTTAGCATCCAGTGGGGTCCAGGGGGTAGAGCCCCCGGAAGCTCAGGGGTTTAGGCATTTGATTACGGTCAGATGAACATATTTATATACTTTATTTGTCCCCCTGCAGGACACTGATTAGCGTGAGGTCCAGCGGGCGGAGCACCCAGAAGATCAAGGGTTTTAGGCACTTGATTGCGGTCAGATGAGTATCAAGGGGCCTGCCCAAGGGCCCCCGGTTGGGTCCCAGGGGCCGAGCCCCCGGAAGCCCAGGGGTTTTAGGTGTTTAATTACGGTTAGATCAGCAATTTTAGATACCTTATTTTGTTGTGACACTGGTAGTTAACTATTCTTTCTTTCTTGCTCTCTTTTTTTCTATTTCTCTTTAAAATGCTTTTCAAAAAAAAAATGGGGGGGGGGGAGCTGGAGGCTCCCGATCTCCGCCGTTCCGCGGGCCTTGACATGTAGGCATCTCAAGAAGCATATTTCTTGCCTGGCTGTTAATTTATAAACGCATAAAAAAGTATAATTTACTAAAGAATGAGGAAAAATCTCGGAAAATTATGTCATTTCAGCATTATGCGTTTAAATGTTATATCCCCCGAGCTCCCCTCCCCGATCAATACGCCAGTGCCCCGCCCCCCCTCCCCCCCACCCCCCCCCCCCACCGATCTACACTTTGTTGGCGGAAAAATAGCAACTGATCTCCCCTACCTTTCTTCTTTCTCTTTTTTTTCTTCCCCTTTCTCTCCTCTTTCCCTTTCCCTTCCCTTCCTTCTTTCTCTTTTAGGTTTGATGGGGGGGAGGGGGAGGCAAGGTCATTTCGGCCCCCACCCTTCTCCACACGTTGTTGGCGGGATTAACTGCCGGCCGCCGCCCCCCCCCCCTGGATCCGCGCCTGGGGGGGGGGGTTGACGGGTCCAGGCCCTCCCTCTCCCCCCCCCCTCCCTGGCCGAAAACAGGGGGTTTTTTTAATTTAAGATAGTGACGTTAATTTTACCTTTTTTAAACAAAAATGAAAGTAGCCCCCCCCCCCTGGCAAAACAAACAGAAGTAAAACAAAATGATTATTTTCTTTTGCACAAGGGAGGAGTGAGAAAAAAGGAGTGTTCACTCCCCGCTCCCCCCCCCCCCCCCCCCCCCCCCCAACGTTGAGCCAAAAAAAGATGGGTCTTTGTGCACTATCTAATCATCACAGACTGAAAAGACCATTAATATGTAACAAAATTGTTTTTGAGTTCTGATTGTTTAACTCTATCATCAAGTAAACATTTAGTATTGCTGAGCTATAGCGCCATGAGCGTCCCTGGACGGTGTGTGCTCTTATATAATTATTTTTACACTAGTATTACTATTATTATCATTATTATATCGCATAAGGCGAAATTAAAGAAAAGCTTGCTCAAATAGTCGCTTTAAATATTAGTGGCACATGATATGGAGAAAGGAAAAGGGAGTATTTATCATAAGGGGAAAAGAACACTCATTAGAAAAGAAGAAAGGAACAGGTGTCAAAGTTAAAGGGCAATTATCAGAGGTTAAAATAATGGGGCATTTCTTGCACCTGACAATTAAGGGGCACTTGTGAGAATGGAAAAGGGGGAATTATCAGAAGCCAAATGGGGCATTTATCACAAGGAAAGCGGGCACATATTTAAAAGGAAAAGAGGGCATGTGTCAAAATAACATCAGGAGCACTTTAAAAACATGGTTGAAAAGTACTCACTAGAGATGACAAAGGAACTATGAGAATGGGAAAAGGGCATCTATCAGGGGTGAAAAGGGGCACTTTTCGCACCTGATAGGTGGCATGCACTTACCAGAGATGAAAAGAGGCACTCGTGAGAATGGAAATGGGCTCTTATTGTAAAGAGCAATGGGCATTTATTGAAGTAAAAATGGCAACTACCAGATTTTAAAGGTACATGTAGTATTCATCAGAGGTGAAATGAGGCATGTATGAGAAAGGAAGAGGGGGCATGAGTCAGAATAAAAGGGGCAAAGAGTTGAAAAGGGGCCCTCATCAGATATGAAAAGACGTGGGTTATTAATGTAGAAAAAGATCATGTACCTGTACAGCTCATTTTATGGACGTTATTACCATAGAAAAAGAAATGTCAGTCACTCACTCAATAGTGTCTGACAGCGAAGTCTATAGAAGGTAAACGGGTTTCATGGCAGAATTCATTTGAATACTAGGACACTGCTAATGTTTAAATTTCACAGATAGGACATACATGACATTTTTATAATTCCTGCAAAGTTGTACAGAATTTGATGTTGGCTGCAAAGGGAAAAATAGTATCTTTAACAGAGATCAAAATGGGCACTTATTTGTATGGAAAAGACACACTTTTTGTGAGGGAAATGGTGCACTTTTGGAAGGAAAGGGGCACCGTATATCAAAAATTAATAGAGGTATTTATTAGAGGTTAAGAAATGTATTTTGAGAAGAGGAAGGGGCTATTATTTAAAAGAGTAAGGGCACTTATTACAAGGAAAAGGTGCACCTATCAAAAAAGAAAAGGACTCACTGTCTTGTCAAAGTAAAAGGGTCATCTTTCAGATTTGAATAGGAGCAATTACCACAGGTAAAAGGGCACTTGTCAGAGATCGATGGTAAGATTTTAAAATGAAAAAATAGATGGAGAAAAAGGCACTTATCTAAATTTAAAGGGGTCACTTTCAATAATAGGCGGGAGCGCCGACTGTGGTGTAAGTCATTATATTATTCAAATTGGATACGATACTTTTAAAGGCTTTCAAAGACGTAAACGCATTTCGGCCTATAGTGCAGATAAGCCTCAAGTTCATATGCCGTTTTGAGCTCTATAATTCTAATCTGAGAAAGTAAGACCCAGACAAGAAGTTTCGGTATGTGACATAATCTATTAGAGTGAAGAATAAGATATCACCTTTACAATGGTTTAGGTCATTATTTAGTTAAAATTTCATATGCGGTAGCCTTCAAACTGGAAAATGTATTTTAGCCATTGTATACCTACACTGCGGATAAATCCCGTAATTGCGGGTTTGAGTTTGAGCCCTAACTCACTTAAACAACGAGACCCAGACAAAAAATGGGCACGTGACATTTATGGGAGTAATGATTAACTATTCACCTTATCTGATATGCGTCTTTATCTTATCAAAATTTCACACTATACTTTTCGATGCCTTTAAAATAAATCTAAAAACTGATTACTTGAATTATGTATTTCATTAAAAGCTATGCGATAAAGGCCGATTTCCATTCAAGCTATGATTTAATTTTGCTACCCTGAAATCTTTTGAAACTAGAGTATTTAGTTTAGTGTTAAGTTCAATCTTTATTTATTTGACAACAGTCTTAATATGATAACAAATTACGTACATATAATTGTTTGCTACACTAAACTCCAGTTCTTTGTGTTTTCCTAAATCAAATGGGTGTATCATAATCTCAACTTGAAATAAATTTGGAGTTTTTCAACGCTTGAAATGTACTAGTTTATATGGTATTTGTTCTGCTATAATATGCCACGTTTTATGTTCACATTGGAGAATCGAGCAAAAGCCTTTATAAAAATGTTCTTCTCTGTACTATATGTTACACATTCATTTTCCGTTTTCCTTTTTGAAGACATCATAGCGAGAATTATATTGTTTTCCGGGCTAACTTCGCCCGAAAAGTTGCTCAACGACTCCGACATACTACTTCCGTAGCAAATCTACATACTAGTATGTTCGGTAGCCGTTTCGTCTACAACCAGTTCGTCTACCACCCAATTGGTCTACTCCCAGCCAGACTTTACACATGGTCTAATAATCATTTCGTCTACTTATCATTTGCTTTATTAAATGACCAACTAATAGCCACTATCCATTTAATTCAGTGGTCAATCACATTTGGTCCGAATCAATGCTCAGTTTACTTTATATATATATATATATATATATATATATATATATATACATATACCGCCTAGCTACTATATACTATTCATATGGTAATATTACCGGTAGACCTTAGGCCTCAAATAAAAACTTGTTGTATTGCCCTTTGGGCGCCAAAACATGGGTCGGTAGGTCGGAAATTTTTTTTTTATTTTTTTTTTGGTCGCCCTTTTTGGGCCGATTTTTTTTTCAGATTTGAATGTGTTTTTTTTTCTGTGTTTTTTCCCGCCCTCTTTTGGCTGATATTTCTCAGTTTTTAATGCTTTAATACATATGTTTCAATGTCATTATTCCATTGATATCTTTTTCACCTCATAATTATCCTTGTTTTGCACGAGTGAGAATTGTGGAATAGTTTAATTTTATGCATTTATATCCCATTTAAAGGTACTATGTCCCTTTTGCAGCCAACCTCAAATCTGTAGAACTTTGCAGGAATTATGAATATGTCCTCATATTCAAATTATGCAAGGAAACCCGTTTACTTGCTAGGCTTCACTGTCAGACACTACTGAGTGACTGATTGGCTTTTTTTGTTCTTTGGTAATAACATACATGAAAAGAGTTGTAAAGGGTACATGAGCATTTGTCTACATCAATAACCCACTTCTTGTGATGCCAAGATTAAACTGATTGAATCTTTGCGCAGCATAAAACGTACGACCATTCGGTACAGTTGTCTGAAAATCAAGACTATTACTTTTGGGCTCTATAGCTCCAAAGTCGATTTGACAACTAAAAGTCATTATTTTCCCACTTGAAGACATTTTCAAGCCCCACCTGTTTTAGGGAAGTTCTAAATAAGTATTATCTTTCAAATGCAGTTGGAATTTAACTTTTTCATTTTTTTGGCCTGCAAATGGGACATAGTACCTTTAAACAAACAAAATACAAATTTTTATATTCATTAATAATAATAAAATCTAAAAAAACGGTTTAAAAAACGGTTTACAAAAAAATTAAATGCCGACCATAGATTGGGTCGGTCGCAAAGGGCAATACAACAATTTTTTATTTTAGGCCTTATGATGGATATGGTGATGGGCAAAATGGGCACGAGACAAACTGGGAATTATGTTAGACCAGGGAGATGACAGTAACTCCGGAGGGGGGGGGGGGATACTCACATAATAGGACATACAAGGGTGTGCCGCTCTCATGGGCCACTTTTTCACACAAAAATGCCTAAACATGGGTCCCATTTTTAGCAAAAACACCATTAAAAATGGGTCTGTTTTTTCAACATTTTCAGGTGTTTGCATGGCAAACACCCCCAAAATCAACTTAATTTCCGTCCCTCGGATAGGATGTTAAATTGAGGCCCCATGTAGAGAAGAGTCACTACCTTTGCACGTTAAGAACCCACTGCACTATTTGTAGAAGAGTAAGGGGGAACCCTGGTGTAGTGGTCCACCTGCACACACCCCAGTATAGTACGATAATACTCTGTAAAGAGGTCTGTACTCAAAAAGGAAGAAGATATCAGGTTGGACTTCTATATTTATGAATTTAATTTGCAGAATTGTGTAAAAATATTGTTAAATTAAAAGGAAATCCAATTTTGATAGTCTTCTAGAGGAAAGCACAGATAGCAAACGTTAGAATGAAATCAGGCAAGAAATGAGAAAGTAAAGAATTTTTTAGAAGTTGTAATCACTCTAGGTACCCCCTCTTCAAATTGGCTGAATCACGAATGCATGTTATTTAGTAGAGGACAACTTTCCCACAAAATGACTAAAATGTTAATTTTTCAAAAATGTATGACTCACGAGGGTGTAATTTCTTTAGAGGACCGAAAATAATATCCATATTATATTTTTAGTAGTGCACCAAGGGAGGAGGCACTTGTACACAGCAAATGGGAGAGTTATTGGCGACGTCACAATCCACTAACCAAATTGCCCATAGACTTAGTGGTTTTATATTTCAAACATTCATAACTTTCTTATTATTTGTCAGATTTATTTCAGACTTTTGCCATTCTGTTTCTCTGATTATTACATGGGTTGGATTGCCCTAGTAAGACAGCCTTGTAATTTCAATAAATTTAACTGTGGACACTGTTGCCTAGTGATCGGATGATCTGCAGCCCAAAACACATCATCATCCCCCCCCCCCCCCCCTGCCCCTTCAACTTCAAACCTCCCAAACAACATGATACATATATTTAGGGTACACACATTATTCATTTTCAACACTTTCCTGGTCGTTGACACATTCATTCCAACACTCATTCATCCATGACTAATGTGATGTTTTAAAAAAATTCTTACTTGATTTAAACATTTTCTTTACAAGGCAATACAGAAAACACAATTTCAATGTACATGTAATTTTTCAAGCAGTTTAAGAGGAATTTATGGACAATTCAACTATAATTATTTTAAACATCTTTTTGATTGATCATGCTTACACAACAGAAGTGATACAATGTTTTGATACACACAATTTAAATACCTTTTCAAAGAACATCGTGTTTTTGGATATTTCCAGACAATATACAGTGCGAGCCAGAAAATAGTTTACACTTTTATGACTGTCTATTGTTTTAAGATTGAATTGTTAATATGCACGTTCAGAGTATTTTATCCACGTTTCTGGTAAAATATTTATAAGATGTTTCATCGTTGGCTGCACAATGGTCAATTTAGGTAACTTGGTAAAAACCCACTTGAACAATAAGCAAGAAAAAGTGTTCACCCATCGAAATTGTTTATCAAACCTTAATTTCTGGTTAACTTACAACCTACTGATTCTTTCCCATTGCTACATATCATCATGTGTGTACATAATCCCGGATTTGATGGGCACTGATCAAATTACCACAGCAAAACCATGCTTCATCAACGATGGCATCAACAACGGAAACATCTTTAGGGAAGCATGGGATCTTGCAAGACACCAGATACATGAAGATATATGTCCGGAAGAACCTCTTAGAAATAGCTCAGGCTTTGAATTATCAGGAGAATGGCTACAATCTTGGGTCCAGTAGAATAATGATTCGGATTCCGGAATGACCTCTGGAATATCTGACTGGTTTTCTTTCATGTACTTTGGGTTACAGCATGTTTAACTGAATGAGACAATGAGGTATGGAACCAAAGTAATACATGAAGTAAAGGAAAGTTGGAAACTGACATTGCTCTCTCTATCTCCTCTAACAAGATATAAGGTTCATTCATTCTATGTACTGTACTGCATCCCTGACATGATTGAGATTTTGAAAAATAGAAAGTGTACAGTAAAGACACACCCCTGCAATGGTGTGTCTATGTTTGTTTGGGTGGGGTGTGCAGCTAATTACAGGTGATTGATCACATCTTTGATACATTAATTTACTGATTACTAAGGAGGCACAACAATTGCTGCTTGGCATACAATACTTCCAAAGAATTTCTTTTTAACTTGCTGATAAGCTCTGCAGTAACTTTCCTTGTTTTGTTTGGAAAATTTTAATGCAATTACAAGTGAATCTCTTTTTCTATTTACTTATTTAGTAATTTTGGTAAGATACAACAGATATATTGTATTACTAACTTTAAAATTTCTCCATGCATTCTTAAAACCGTGTTTCTCATGCACATGAATAGTTTGTGCACAACATGAATGGCCTTAGCCAGACCAATATATTAGTTCATAGTACCAATGAGCACAGCTATTGTGTTCAACTACCCCCAACCCATATTGGGGGGTCATTTGTACAGCAGCTATCTACAAAGTGGTCCATTCATCTTTCACTAAATACAAGACATACAAGTTAGCTGCTCTAATAATCCATTCTTAAAACAAAGCAAGAACATGTATTAAATCCCTGCTCGCAGCTGGTCTGCTGCACAGGAAATGTAGTAGGCCTTTTAAACCAAATTCATTTAATGATTAAAACACTTACAAAATCCTGACAATGAGGAAAAATCAAGGGGCAGGATAAATGTTATTATTTTGGTGTGATGGCTCCTTGGTAGAGCAGTGGTCTTGGAACCAGGAGGTCATGGGTTCAAAACCAGGTCGACGCACTAGTGCCCTTGGTAAGCCATTACTCCTCATTACCAATTAAATTAAATTTGGAAATTTGTTTAACCATGTATGTCTAGAAAATGAGGGATTATTTTAGTTTTTAATTATAACTATCCTCTGAGTAGTAGATGATGAAAACTATTACAATAGCACAGGTCAAAAAGTTTTTACAGATTTACCTTGTTTATTGAATAGCCTTTCAAGCTTTTTATACTGCTTGAAGAAATGTGGTATCTAGAGGAAATCTAATAGGAGCTCAAGGATAAATATGAATATGACAAATAACTTGAAACTGATTTACAGTAGACTAAATAATTATGAGCACAAAATAACAGGCCATGAGTAAATGCTGCCAAAAACACACTGGTGTAAAATATAGATAATTAATCATGTCGTCCCTATTTTCACAAAGTGACGGTAGTGAGGAAAATCGTAACGCAAAGTGAATGCAATTTTTTTCACTACCGTCACTTCGTGAAAACAGCGACGATGTATGTGATGTTCATTAAAATTAGATTGTTTTGGTGGATGTTTGTAGAATATGTGTGTTGATGAAATTGCTATTCAAAGATGACAGGTTGTGATAACTTCTTAGGTGGTATGTCCAGATGGCCTGTGGGATAGAAATAAAAAATAATTGAAATATTCAAGCACCATATATCATATTGGTTATATCTATCTATATCATAGCATAGAAAAACACTGATTATAATGATGAATTAATAAAGAAGTCTTAACATTACAAGTCCTATTGACATATATTTAAACTGCCATTATTAAAACAGGCCCAGAAAAGATTCATTTTTTAATTGATACTATATTTACTAAATAAGATTATTATCTGAAAGGACATGGTTTTTACTTTACACTACATAAACCATCTATGTTAATTGGTTTGTATAATTACAATCTTGTATAATTACAATCAAACTATCAATACAGAAGTATAATTGTATAATGACAGTGGAGAATATATTGACAAAATGTCTTGCGCCATAAATCTTTCTCCTTCTGAGCCTTGTGAAAAGTTGTCTGATGGTTCTAGAGACTGACAGCAAGTGAGACTAATGGCTTAAGAGGCCAACAGGCTCTTAGCCTAAACAGTATCCAAACTCACTTCATAATATTCAAGCAAGAAACTAAAAAGGAACAACAACTACTACTTGATTAGCACATTAAAGGGATCCGGTAACTTTGTCTCAGATTCTGAAACAAAATCCGGGATTTAGCTCAAGCTGCAATGATAATTATAAACCTTTAGGTCAGTCAGGAACCCCATGACTTTTACAAGCCGATCGCCTGTCTGATTATCAAGATATTTATGACTGAAATTACAAATTTTGAAAACCGTTTCATAACACTACAGTCTATTGGGGAAAACGAGTATGGTAAAACCGGTCACTCAAAGATTTTTTACTTTTTTGAGGCACTTCTTGATCATTTTGAAGTGCGATTTTTTTTAGGGTTTCAATATTCACGTATTCAATACACGTAGGGCCGTGTATCTCAGATTTAACATTGTTAAACGATCCCTTTAACTGTAAGTACCCAAGCACTAACAGAATATTTAATCTAAAGATTACATTTGTAAAGATGAAAAGGATATTAGAAAGAGAGACATAGAGAGTAGTTGAATGACACACTTACTTGGCCCATTCTACCTTCAAGATCAGGTGATCATACCCAAAGCCAGACAAACATTGGATTGCTTTGGCTGCACTTTCACGCAAGTAGAAGTTGATGAAGGCAAAACCCTGTGGAATGGTGAATTAAGAAAAAACATTTTGTTAGTGTTAATGCAGACATGCTCATTTGAAACTCGGTTTATTTTACCTCCCTATCTATGATGATGCATTCTAGTTGATTTACATCCATCAATGTTTTTCATGACACTGTGTTTCATGTACCAACCAAAAACTAATTAGCACTGATCAACCTTTTCTTTGTGACTTTCGTCCTTTAGCAACTTACCCCAAGATATTAAGTCATGTCCCTCTAAGGACCAAGTTTCTCGTTCAAGATTCATGGCTCAAAGACACTTGAACTATTGAGATCAATGATCTAACGTTTCACTCAATTACCCTAAAATCAAATCATATTGCCCTGATATACTAAGTTTCAGGTTCATTTTCTCTAATGATACTAAGAAGTGGCAATAGCAAAGTTAAAACCAAGGAGAAGTATTCTAAGCACACTTTTATCTCTAAAATATTTCATTTCAGTATTCTGAATCCGCTTGTAATCTCAGATTTGTTCATTCATTTTTATATTAATCTCTTAGTTACAGCCATTTTTTTTTCTTTATTTGACAGACAGGAAGTCTTTAACTTTCTTTTTGCTATGCTATTTGATATGAAATACAGCTAAGGAAGACCTTATTTGGAGGGATGGATCAAACCCTCCTGCCCCCCCCCCCCCCCCCATCCCCCAAGAGTGACAACACAAGTCCTTGACGTGCATGACATTTTTCTCTAACTAGTTATGAAGAGTGTGTACCTTTGAATGTCCAGTGATTTTGTCTTGAGCCAGGTATATTCTCTGGATGGCTCCAAAAGGTCTGAATAGATCTTGGAGATCACTCTCTCTGGTGTCTTCAGAGAGGTTAGTCACTCGTATGGTTGCTGCCTCATCTAAAAATGATAATTATAATAATGAAAGATTTGTTTTAAAGCTCCTTCATCTTATCAATAATGACAGTTTTATTATATACATATAGCTGCTTCAGCTAGCCGATTTTATCAATGTAATTTAAATCAGGTATATGCTTTGATAAGCATTTCAAACACATCTGTTTTCCAGTGGGCTCCTCCCTGTAGCTCCATGCTCTTCTCATCATGTATCTAATCTGAGCTAAACGATGATGATGTACAGGTAGTTTGTTACTGCATCCAATGTTACCTTGTGTTCATTAAACACATACCCATTGTGTGTTACTGCACACATAGAGAAGATAACAAATATGGATTATATTTGTTGTGGTCATTGTACATGTAAAAATTAGGGGATTTTCCAAAATGAACTAGTACACAGGGAAATATTGCCTGTTTTCATGGCTGTAATTTTAGGCAAAAGTTTGTGAATTAAATGCACAGGTCCGAGGCCTGATGTAAATAATAGTTGGAAATTTGGGGAAATACTGGTAAATATGTTGTTTTCAGATTTTCTACCTTTTCTACCCTGTTAATCTGAAAAAAAGTAAACTGTTTTCTCCTTGCCAATTTAAAAAATGGTACACCTTATCTATAGCTTCAACACCATCTGGAAGCCAAAGTGTAGCCCTTCATTCATTACTCCAATCAGTTGGATGACCCCCTCATTACTAAAGCCACAATGTCATTGCCCTCTGTGCTTAGACCTTATCTTTGCCTAACAATCTACACATTATTTACTGAATTATTGTAATTTATTTTTAGAGTATACTTTCCAGTATTTACTGTTTTGGTCAAAATAGTGTGGGCACATTTTACCACTGGGTGCTTTCCGTTCCATTACTTATTGACTATCCCTGAAATAAAATGATAGGTTAAAATTATTGTTAGAAATCTGAGTTATCCATTTTTCAAAGAAAGAGAGATTAACAGGTGTTCATGATGGTTGTACTAGCTACATACCTCTTCTAGCTGCCATGGTTTCTCCTCTTCTCTTTCCTCCATCCCTAGCACCAGGAGGAATGTACTTGCCCACAGAGCTTCCTCCTCCTGGACCAGGGTTAGATTCTTCTGGATTAGCACTCCCTGTATCACCATCCGTTGCTCCTGCTGTCTCTCCTGTACCAAGGAGCTCTCGTTGGAGGGGCTCAAGAGACTCCTTGTAGGGGCACTTTGTAGTCCAATGGTCACCCTTGCATACACGGCACACCATAATACGCTTGGCTTTCAGCTTCTCCAGCTGATCTTCTGTTGACGGTTGGTTCTCATTCTAACAAACAAAGCAGTTATACATGTTTTATCATCATTTGAAATATTTCTTGATAGTTTTTTAAGTGAGTTTTCAACACAATAAAACAAAGAAAACCTGCTAATGAGAGCACTCATACATTTACAATTCTTGAAGGCCCCTAGCTCTTAATAAGCGGCCCACAAGCCTCATGTATTTGTAAGCTACCAAAAATATAAAGTACAGAATACAAATTGTTTACCCTATTGTTTAATAATCTTTATATGATGTGAGAGGATATAATCACTTTATATAGATATTTAATCTTTCTTTTTGATTTCTTTTGTTGTCATCAAATTCAATGGTTAAATTGTCCTTTAACTGAAATATTAGAACAAGGGTCGAAGAGCATGTAATAAAATAAAATATAAGAATATATTTTGCAAGGAATTTTCGAACATTAGAAATGTCCCACTACTACAATGGGGTATTAAAAGCCTTAATATTATAAATACTATAAAGTAAGGCGAGAGATATTTGATAAAACTGGAATTTGCCCTTTTCCTGAAGAGCTTTTAAGAGTAGACTAGAGGTACTCACATCTTTGCTTGAGATGAAGCTCATGAAGACCTCATCATGCACGATAGCAGTAGGGTTAGGGTTAGGGTAAGGGTTTACAATAAGACTAGAGGTACTCACATCTTTGCTTCAGATGAAGCTCATGAAGACCTCGTCATGCACGATAGCAGTAGGGTTAGGGTTAGGGTTAGGGTAAGGGTTTACAATAAGACTAGAGGTACTCACATCTTTGCTTCAGATGAAGCTCATGAAGACCTCGTCATGCACGATAGCAGTAGGGTTAGGGTTAGGGTTAGGGTAAGGGTTTACAATAAGACTAGAGGTACTCACATCTTTGCTTGAGATGAAGCTCATGAAGACCTCATCATGCACGATAGCAGTAGGGTTAGGGTAAGGGTTTACAATAAGACTAGAGGTACTCACATCTTTGCTTGAGATGAAGCTCATGAAGACCTCGTCATGCACGATAGCAGTAGGGTTAGGGTTAGGGTAAGGGTTTACAATAAGACTAGAGGTACTCACATCTTTGCTTGAGATGAAGCTCATGAAGACCTCGTCATGCACGATAGCAGTAGGGTTAGGGTTAGGGTTAGGGTAAGGGTTTACAATAAGACTAGAGGTACTCACATCTTTGCTTGAGATGAAGCTCATGAAGACCTCCTCATGCACGATAGCAGTAGGGTTAGGGTTAGGGTAAGGGTTTACAATAAGACTAGAGGTACTCACATCTTTGCTTGAGATGAAGCTCATGAAGACCTCGTCATGCACGATAGCAGTAGGGTTAGGGTTAGGGTAAGGGTTTATAATAAGACTAGAGGTACTCACATCTTTGCTTGAGATGAAGCTCATGAAGACCTCGTTATGCACGATAGCAGTAGGGTTAGGGTAAGAGTAAACTTAGAGGTACTCACATCTTTGCTTGAGATAAAGCTCATGAAGACCTCATCATGCACGATAGCAGTAGTACCTGGATTGGGACCGGGTGGATCACTGGCGGATTTCCCATACTTTGCCCATTGCTGGAAAATTGAAACAAAGAGTCATAAGATAATATGCCTGTCATCTAACATTCACTAATGCTGGTAGCAAATATTGATACAAAATATCATGTACATGTAAATTGGACAGCCTTTGATGCTCAATATTTTCTGAGAATATTGGTTAACACAAAAAAAAATTTAAAAAAACTCTGCCTGAACAATGTATGCTCTCCTCAAGAGGAAGACCTTTGATCAATCAAAAACTTGTTATGATTTAGTAACATTTATGAGCCTGTACATCTATTTGAAAACCAATGACTACAAAAAAAGGGTAAAATTCCAACAACAACAACAACAAAAAAAAAACTTCCAAATAATTCTAATACATTCCAGTTAAAATAAAACTAGAAATACATTGAAATGGTAATGAAAACATTGGACAATGATTAGTATGTCAAGATCTTTTTTCACATCCATGACAGGCCTAGGCAACCATCGTCAAGGCCTGGTACAAAGATATCACAGTACACATGTATACATACATGTAACAACAGGGTGGTGTTTCATAAAGAGTTCGTAAAGTTACGCATGACTTTACGAACGACTTGTTTATGAAAAGCTAAATGGGATGCTCAATTATTATTGATTATTATTTATTAAGTTGAACTGTGCAGATGTAGATTAACATTCTTATTATAACTAACATGTTTAATGCAAATCATATTTTTGCCATAATTTAATTGAGGTTATTGGAAATATCAGAAAAAACTTTGGGCATCCTATCTGGCACTTCATATACAAGTCGTTCGTAAAGTCATGCGTAACTTTACGAACAGCTTTATGAAACACCCCCCTGGTTCTATTGAAACCTACTGTAGAGGCTTACAATTTTCACAGCAACAACATGAAATAACTGTGCAATTGACATGAAATCTACTTTGATAAGTAAAGTGTCTGGCCAATAGATGACACCTCACTGCACTGAACGTTTAAAAAAATCATATAATTTGTCATATACGCCGGTAAGCAAATAAAATACTGCACAGCAAATTGTTTTTTGTTTTTAACTTCACCATGTACATGTATTAAATGTTTCATAAAGATAAAACAGTGTTTATACCTTCCTATGAGCTACTGACTTTGATGCTTTCCTCTTCTCGATCTTGAAAGTCCGTGTAATCTGACAGAGTGAAAAAAGGTTAGAAAATATAAAAATGATAATTCAGAAAATCATGTTTGTTTTGTAAGACGGGTCACTTCTGAAATGGCAAGATTTCTACACATCCTCAGACGAGGCTCGTTATTTGATTCTTTTGTTAATTTGCCTTTTGTGTAGGATCATCTATCTAAAGGTTTTTGTCACTTTTTGATGATCCGACCACAACAAATATCCGTTTTAAGCTGGCTGTTTCAACCCTGGTAGGAGAAAATTCTTGAAATGCTTCAAGTGCTAGTTACATGTACACTTAACTATTACTATTCACAAGCACCTTGAGATGGATTATACATGTTATATCATTAATAAACAAAACATAACACATCTCTTTACAGTTCCTTGCAAATATATATTTATGATCATCATCAGATTTATTCAATTATGCAGCATCTCCACTCCCTTTGGAGTACTCCTTCCACATGGTCACTGGAAGGAACACGGCCTGTTCAATTAGATTGCTTCTTTGCTGCAACTGGCTCCCATATTATTTTCCTTGGCATGGGGTAGCAAATGTAGATTAATGTCATTGCCAGAGGACCTGGTTGCACATGTTTGACCTGAACCTACATGTATGATGTAATCATCTTCAGTCAAGAATGACCACTTGACTATCGTACCTTTACATGTACCTCTACACTGATGGCACATCACGCTGCATTCAACATAATTCAACAAACGGTTTTCAACATAACAGGTATGGATCCTGTGCACAAACATGACAAAATTGTTGTCTGAACATGAATTACAACTCTAAATATCAAATAATAATGAAGACATTTAAAGGATTGGTGATTTCACATTTTGAAAAAAAATTGTAAACAAACTACAGTTGTATAATTTGTGTACCTGTATCAACTTGTTGTTGTCTTCATCCCTTTTGTACTCAATCAACTTCTTAAAATCTCCTTCCAACAATTCCTCTGGAGGTGGGATACTCCCTAGTAAAATTAATTCAAATGGGAAAGATAGGGATAAAAGTATGCAAATAATTAACATATTATAGACTGACGGTAAAATACATAATAATAAAAAGACAAAAAATTATTTCCAAGTCAATGAAGAAGAACAAAACTTGCAGTGCAAAGTCTATTTGTAATGTCACTTTGTAGAAAATGAATGACTTGTAAGGCTTATAAACGTGCAATCTATTGATCTCCAAAAAGTGATGCACTAATTCTGTGAATACCAGTAATGTAAAATATCAATTGGTCAATTTAAAGGGATACAGGTAATGAATTTTCTTCCATTTTATGGATTTGGGAGGCTTGAAAATAATACAGTTAAATAGCTCAAAGTTTGAGACTTGAGTCCTTGCAGTCCAAGTCCTGAAAGAGAGACTGGTCTTGAGACTGAGTGTAGATTATAGTCCTATATAAAATGGCATTTAAAGGCAGGCTTTACTACTTCATCTAGAAGGGATTAGACCACCCAGCAAGCCAGCAAGGTGGCTATCTCATTAACTCAGCTCTCATTTAACATAAGAAAAAGAGGATCATGGGGGACCAACAGGCACCGATTGGGGAAGTTTTCTATATAGAGGGAGCAAGTAGCTACAAGTAGGACAGTGTGCCTTTAACAACTTACTAAGAGAAAAGATAATTTGATTAACAGTGATCAACTTACTGAGATCTCCTTCCTCTACCTGGTCTGCCCAGCTTATAGGTTTAGATCTGTGAAATAAGAAGCAAAGCATGAAATGAAGTAACACTACTACTAGTACTATGGCTCTTATAAGGCTGTGCACAACAGTTTAATGAGGTACCAGAGTACACTCCTACAAGCGAATACTCAAATATTCGGACACCATGTTTTTTTATAATTTTTTTTTTTTTTTTAATTGTTTTGATTCTTTTTTTTCGATTTTTTTTTTTTTTTTGCCACCACCATAGCAATATGCCAGTTCTGTTGCAGAAAACGCATGCAATTTTACTTCGAGTTGCAGTTGAAGGCGCCGATTTAATAATAAAAATAACAGTAAACAATGCTGTTTTAAAAACCAAAGATGGAAGAATAATCCATTTTCCTCCAAGTCCAAACAGAAATCCAGACATTTGGTCCCAGTTTCTGAGTGGTGAGTTTGACAGTGCTTGAGTTTGGAAACATTATTACCGACGGTACCATGCCAGCTGCCGCCGCCGCTCACCCAGGCACGGGTTAGCGTCGGCCTGGACAATTTTTTTTTTTTTTTTTTTTTTTTTTTTGGCGGCCGAATATTCGGGTACGAAAAATCGTACCCGAGTAGTTGTCAACCGTGCGGGTACTCGAGCATTCGACTACACGTCGCAGTAGTGTGTACAGTCAAAGGTAACTCTGTTAGGGTAACCCTTACAATTCCAGTTATTCACCATTCCACTAATAAATATGAAAATGAAAATCTTGCTATGCTCAGGTGCAATTTTTAAAAGTCCTTTTTGCTTTTAAAATAGTAAACTTCAAGTGTTTTTTTCTTCTAACATGTATTATGTCACATGATCATGTTTGCAATCTTGAATATAACCCCCACGTTTGAGAAGGAAAACACTGGGGATGAATTCACTTCTTATTTTTTAAACAGAATAGATTTTTCAAAACTGGATTCAAAATATAAAGAATATATAACCTTCCACAATTATCAAAGACATACAACTAAAAGTGACAAACAGCATCAAGTGACAAACAGCATCATATCAGAGCACATACTGAACTTATTCTCATCTACTAGTCTACCGGTACTATTAATCACACATAGCTGCATTACTATCCTGGCTGTGTATTAAAAGCTGTGCTATTGATTCTCAACATTTTAAACACCACTGATCGTGGCACTGTACAAAACTCAACTGAGTTCACTCAAAATCAGTACTCAAGTGACAATTGATGACACCTAAATAGCAGTAAAATACATTTTTTTTAACTTACCGATGTTAGAAAAAATAATTTAAAAATTCAAATTGTAAGTCTACTGTCAAACTTGCCGATCAGCCACATCGGCATGATTGTGTGCATTTGCGTATTAAGAGTGTATTGACTATTCATGTGTGCAAATGCTGCCTATTAACACATAGTGCAGTGCTAGAGGTCAATACACATTAGTATTGACTCTCTATGCTTTGATGGAGTGCTATTAATAGGGTGTCTGAACGATTTTTCAATTTTCCATTTGGGATTGTTTTTCACTATAATGGTTAGAAATTTGAAAAAAAACATTACCAGTAATCAGAATAATACATTTCAAAGTGGCATACCGCAAGGAAGTGTCCTCGGTCCAGTCTTGTTCAATATCTACATTAATGACCTACCATCTGTTGCCCAGAATTCTACAGCGAAACTATTTGCTGATGACACAAAACGATACAGGGTTGTAGACAATAAAGAGGATGCTAAGCTACTCCAACAGGACTTAAATGACATCGTTCAATGGTCAAGTAACTGGCAGCTACCGTTCAACGAAGGAAAGTGCAAAGTGATACACTATGGAAAGAGGAACAAGAAGTTCGCCTACACTATGGAATGCCCCGATGGGAGAAAAGATGTGACAACGGACGAAGGAATGGGAGAAAAGGATCTGGGGGTATTATTTGACTCAGATCTGTCTTTCTGCGCCCATGTAGCTGATGTCTCCAAAAGAGCCAATATCAAGTTAGGAATCATAAAACGTTCTTTTTCATCCCTTGGATCCAGTGGCATGCTACAACTATATAAGACCATAGTACGCCCAACACTTGAATATTGCAATGCAGTCTGGAGACCAACGTACCTAAAGGATCAAGATCTATTGGAAAAGGTCCAGCAACGTGCTACGCGACTCATCCCAGATGTGAAGCATCTAAGCTATGAAGAAAGACTTAAGACACTCAAACTACCATCACTAGAGTACCGTAGACAGAGGGCTGATCTTCTTCAAATATACAAGATCATGCATGGATTGGAGGCAGTAGAGAGGAATGACATATTTGAAATCATCAAAGAATCCAGAACAAGTGGACACAGGCTCAAAATAAGGAAGCCCCGCTGCAAATCTAAGATGAGGCAGATGTCATTTTCAGGGCGGAGCATTAATAATTGGAATAACCTTCCTGAAATTGCCATAAATGCCTCATCAATCAATAAATTCAAGTCAGAACTTCAAAATAATTGGAAGCACCATCCGCTGAAACACCACCCATACCAACGCGAATCCAATGCAGTAAAGAGGGGCACATAAGCTGAAGCTTCAAGCCTCGACACCAAAGTAAACCAAAGTAAAGTAACATTTCAAGACTCATCAATGTTTCTATCAAAAGATACAGCCCCTCAAAATCTAGGCAATATTCATCCATTTTTTGTCAGAATAGACGAAAAAGACATAGACTATGGGTAGGGTGTCTGATCGCGCACCCGATGTTGTGTGCTAAAATTCTTCCCATAGAGATTACACGCATCCCTATGCAGCCTACGTGCATTGCGCGACCATGCAAAAAAAGTCAATTTTTTTTTTTCAAATCGAGATTCAAACCTTTATCAGTTGTGATCCTGAAGGTGATAATCAATGAATGAGGTGTCATATGAAAGAGCAGGTGAATTCCAATATTTCCAAAGGGGCGTAGCCCCCGAAATTCTAAAAATATCTTGGTCAAAACAGCAATTTAAACATTGTGTCCTGGCTAACTCTGAGGTTTGTCACTTTTGAGATATGACGCCCCGATCGATAAGTAGTCCCAGTCCTAAGGAACAATTCTATGTGATTATATTTTCGCTAGCCCCCAGGGATCACAACTGATAACAGTTTAAAAATACCCTTCTCGCTATTTGGTGGATCAGCTAATTAGGGGGCGTGCGCTCCGCTCAGTCCAAACCATGGTTACATCGCGTAACATCTCCGCGCACGAACGAAACCCCAAATTCAATTACACATTATAGTGACTGAAATTATGGTTGGCAATTCCCTCGATAAACCCGGAAGTGAATACACGCGTTGTCTCCGCGATATTGCCATTGACTATAACGTGCATTCTAGGCTTGGGCGGTTCCCTTGTTGATGAGAACCGACTCCGGTTCCCACTCTCGGCCTCGGTTCCAAGTGGAATCGACTCCCGCTGGCTGCCATATACAGTACATGTAATTGAAGCCACAATGCTGTAAAGGCTACACACACACACACACACCAGGGAGGTGTTTACACACTGTATGTTATGTACTGTGCATGTCGGCTCCACTCAGCAGTGGCACCGATAGCAACAGATGATTTTCTGAGATATTTTTTTTGGAAAACTTTACTTTTAAAAATGAGTATCAAAAGTATGAATGTATGTGTGACTTGTGTGTGTAAATTGATGTTTTGTTTATATCTGTTTCGTCTCATGATATCTCTACAATTACATGCAAACAATATATAAAGAAGATCAAAGTGCAGACCTTCATAAACAGTTATGAAATGATTTATTTTACTACTTTCGATCAAATCGAGAAAAAAACATGACCACTGCTAATAAAGTAATTAATTATTTAATAACTCATGGCAACTTGGCAACAATGTAAACAAACAAAAACATGTTAGGTCTTATTTAAATTCTAAACTTCAACATAGAATGATGGAATAATAAACTCGTACTTACACTGCTAAAGTGTAAGAAATGCAGAACAATTATTTCCAATATTACGGTAAACAATCCATTATGTAAAACTAAAGATTCTGATTCGCTGCCTAAAATAAATGGAATGTATCCGAAACATGCCTGGTCCGCTGGCTCTCCTCCCAGGGACCAACCTTTATCTGAGAGCTATAAAGTGTAACTCATGCTCACATGGCCGCCCGCCCGCCCGCCCAATGCCACCCAAAAACTTTAATGACCCCAGCCCCAGCTCGTGGCACTCCATTCCCATGGTTACTACTAACCACGTGCTTTCTAAACAACAGATAACAGCGCTAGATCTTGGTTTCAGAATAAATAGTCTGCATTTTCAGCCACTATTAGAGATTGCGCTAATGCCACAGCGAGAGGGGACACTTGACTTGCCTGAATTATTCTTATTTGTTTAAATACCCCCAAAAAGAACACAAGACAGAGAGATGTAGATCTGCAAAACTTATTCTTGAGACAAAAATAATAACAGAAGGGGATGCTAGAGGGGGAGAGAAAGGGAGAAGGGGAGATGTTGACCTGCCGCATTTATTCTTGTAAGGAAAACAAAATAACTGAAGGAAACAAGATATAGGGGGTGGGGGAATGTACATAAAAATTGTAGACCTGTCAAACTTATTTTTAAGAAGAATAAAACTTGATGAGGAGAATTCAAGGGAGAGAAAGGAGGAGGAAATTGTGAGTTGTGTGATTTAGTTTATTTGAGGAAGAAAACTAAACGTCTGATGTCTAGGGGAAGGGGAGACTAGGGGTAGAGAGAGAGAGAGAGAGAGAGCAAACACAAAGTCACATAAATCAGTTTGCGCACGAGAGAAAACATGAATCAACTCCTTGATCACACGCTCCAAGAGGAGAGAAAATGGGGCCATTGTTCCAAGACTCTTGCGCAATTTACCAAAGGTCAAACGTTCAGCTGGGGGGGGGGGCTGTTACAGACAACATGCAGCAGTATAAACATCGCATAGCACACACATCTCACTCTGATGCACAGTACTACGAAGGAGGTACACACACAAATGTGTGTATCAAAACAGCATGCTGCTAGCTAGTGCGCCCATCGCTCGCATGCATTCTACTTTGACAGAGCTGATTTTGTTCATTCTCTGTGCTGTGGAATCGACACCAATTCGTTCGGGCAATGTTCCTTCGTTCACTTTTGCAAAGTATCTCTTTGAATTTTGGTGCTGTGGAGACGACTCCAGCGCCAAAGACTCGGTTCTTATCTTGGAACCGAGTCTCCTTTTCTCGGAACCGACGTGCTCGAGTAATCGACTCTCTAGAGATTGGAGTCGACTCCTCGGTTCTGTATTTCAGAATCGGTTAGAGTCGGGTACTCGGCTCTCGCTCCCAAGCCTAGTGCATTCACTTCCGGGTTTATTGTGCGACGAACGCCAACCATACTAGTCAATCGCACATGTCGCGGAGACAGCGTAGCTCAAGCTGCAAGTCGCGGATTGGCTTAGCAGCATGCGTACGATATGCATACGCTTGCATATCGCGCGATACAGCTGTTTGGCTAAATTTAGCAAAACAACATCACTCTGCGTGGACGTCTTTTTCGTCGATTTTGACCAAAATGATATGAATATACCAGCGTGTTGGAGGGGCTGTAACTTTTGATAGAAGCATCGGTGAGACTTGAAATTTGAAATGTATTATTCTGATAACATTTTTTATTCAAATATCAAACAAAAATGGTGGAAAACGATCCCAAATTGAAAATTGAAAAATCGTTCAGACACCCTACTATGGGGGAAAAGGTATTTTCAAACTGTAATCGATGCATGGATCGATTCCTTACAACTGGGACTATAATCGATCGATACGTCATTTCTAAAAAGTGTCAAATTTTGGAGCTAGGCTGCAAACAACATTTAAATCGCTGTTTTTACCAAGATATTTTTAGAATTCCGAGATGACGCCCCTTTGAAAATATGGAGACTAATCTGCTCTTTCATATGACACCTCATTCATTGAGTATCACCTTCAGGATCACAAGAAATAAAGGTTTAAATCTCGACTTGGTCATAAAAACATTGACCAATTTTGCATGATCGCGCAATGCACGCATGCACTGACTGCATAGGGATGCGATGAGTGCAATCTATGCCTAGATCTAGATCTAGGGAGTAGGTCTATGCTATATGGGAAGGATTTTAGGACACAACACATCGTCATTGGGTAAGCGATCAAACACTCTATACTCTACAAAGATCATTGAGTGGCGAGTGCAAGTGACAACATCATAAACTCCACATCAACCAGCACATTCAACGCTTTCAGTCTCACAAGCCTTGATCTAACCCCCCCCCCCCCCCCCCCCCCCCCCTCACCATTCATAAATTTTCTTGGGTTTTCATACACACGAGCTGATTATTACAAAGGTTATATTCTTGTAAATAGGTGTCACCGTGGTGAGACCTATTTGACACATGTTTGATAAATAGTTTTGTCAAATCCAAATGGAAAAGAGAATGTGTAATTTGTGTAATGTAACCGCTTAAGCTTAACCGTATGCCGGTAGATCTAGATCTAGAGTCTATATAGAGATGTGTGGACAAGCACCATATTCGTACCGCCCAAGCCAAGCGCAACGAAACACGAATGAAATTGATGGTAGGCTATAAATACTGGTTAATGCTTACGTATCGGCCGAAGGCATTTTCGAAGAATATTCAGTCCTCAATCACGGGACAGCTGTTAAACTTATACCAAATCTTGCCGTAGTTTAGTCGTTGAAGCTAATAATTGTAAGAGCCTCCAACTGTACACGTGATGTACCGTACTACAGTTTACTGTACATACTAACAGCAAAGCGAGTCAGCATATAATCCATATGGCCGATGTCGGGTTCCTCGCGCGCGGCACTAGATGGCGCTCTATTAAAACGACCATTAGTTACACCCATATTCCTTTGCCCGTTTTATCACACCCATATTTCTAATTTGCCTGTCTTATTTACACCCATATATCCCTTTGCATTAGATTTATTACTATGTCAACGTGTTTGGACCAGTTCAATTCTATATCAATAGACCGGTTTACTTATAGTATATGCAATTTTACGGATGTTTCTTTCCTGGGGACGAGTTTATCCATTAACCTGTGATTAATGAATGAACTGCAATTATTGGAATTCAGTCTGCATGCTTAACGTCTTGATGCTCAGTTTTGTCAAGCCTCAGGCATGCTTTTTATATGTTGTCAAGAACAACTTTTGTTGAAAAATCATGCCTAAATTATGTTAGTAACCAAGTTTGTTAGTACACCAAGACATTTCGCGGTATAACCTATTCAGTAAATTTCTATTTATAGATAAATTGAAGGATGTTGTTTTGTTTAAATTTGCGGGCTTTTTTTTCTGTATTAATTAAGTACAAGTCGATTTTGAGATACCTACAGCTTTAATTCTAATCAGTATAGTTTTGGCTCAGTTTACTAGATCATGAGCGTTTTACACCCTTTTTTAGTTAAAGCACCTAAGAGATAACACGTTTACTTTCTCTCGGTCTCTTCTTCCCGTACACTGTAAAAAAAATAATAGTCGAAATAACTCAATAAAATTGAGGAAAAGAATTGCCTTATTTTTATTAAGTAAATATTACCTACGGCATCTTAAGTAGAATTTACTTATTTTGCTGAATAAATTTTTACTCAGTTAAATCGAGTTACATTAACGTAAATAATTTAAGTATTGTAATCATTTTAGATAATTCAAAAAAAGCTATGATAGGATTACATATATATTGCACGATTTGGTACCCATCTAATCTAACAAGTAATATCCACTAATCATTCACTTCTTCTATTTAAGATATAACCGTATATATATATATATATATATCTACCACCATCACAAACTATTACATACGCTTAATTCGACACATATTGTAAGGCTCCAAATTTTATATATACTTGATCGTAGCATCTTAAAAGAAAAATTGGTTGACAATTTCCTGAAATATCAAGTTTTGATTTGTTTTGAACTGGGTAACAATCAAAAATTGTCTAATCTTTGCTTAGCCATGTTAAATGAATTAGTAAATTGTTAAAGTCCTTAAATTTTCATTCAACCACAAAAAAAGAATTGTTTTATTTAAAAAAGAGTTTAATTTGGTCTTAATGAATATTCATAAATTATGTAAATATTTCTATTACGCACTGCATCGGTCCTTACTTAAAAAAGATAAGAATAATCAACATAAATTGTTTGAGTAATACGTATAATTTCTGATTTTGAGTTAAAATTACTAAATTAATACAAGCTGAAATTACTTAAAGTTATTATGTATTTGATTTTACTTAAATATTCCACGTATGTTCTACTAAATTGAAAGTTTGAGTTAGCAAGACTTAAATTTAGTGCGTAAGTGGCAAAACTAATGTTTTCAAGTAAATTCTACATGGAAAAAATACGTAAAAATTACCAATGAACAAATTCTTTTTTACAGTGTATGTCCTTTATCTTTCACTCCCGCCTATCCCCATTTCTTTTCTCCTCTGCGCTACACTACAAGGACCCAGGTCGCATCACCCAAAAACATTTTTCGATAACCGTTTATTGAATTGAATTAAATTGATAATGGTTTCATTGAGAATAAAAGAACAACAATGCATCGCGGCCTAGAAGGCCGAATTGGGCAATGTTTTACAAATGTAAAAAACAATATAGGCTATAATATTATATAAAAACATCGTCAAATAACATAAAAATTAATGAACTGAACTTGGATGAGTAAATTGTTAAGAATAATATTTAACTTTAAAATTCTCATTTCTTATTATGCACCTCTTACAACAGATTTCATTTAAGGATCATCATGTTGTCCCCAGGGACATTACTAATTCACATACTAATTATGATAACCTTTGAAAAGAGTTTTCAAGCAATCTTTCTCTTTATATTACCTCATATTCTTTTTCCTTGTAGGCCTATACTTCATCTCTCCCCTCGTTCTCACATCTTCGTTTTTGCTTTTAGCCATTCGATAGGGGAGGGTTCTCGTGCCCCCCCCCCTCCCCACCCCCCGTAGCTACGCCACTGATTCCTGTAATGCTGAAGAAATATTTTATTCACTAGCCTCAGCTATACGCTACCTTCTCTTACACAGTTAATGTGGTATAAGCCGCTTACATATCTACCTACCATCAGATATAAAATTAAGATGAACAGCTTCTTAACATCCGTCAAATTGGATCTAAAATATTTCATGCTTTCTTGAGAGCTTCCAATAGCAGCTAATTTTAAAATAAATAAATAATTAACTGTTGTAGAATGCTTTGGTCGAAAGCCAGAATGATTCGAGTTCGAGATATTAGTATTGTTAAAAAAGAGCTGGTGATCATTACCAGTTGCTTCATCTTTACACCTGTTACTAATTTCCTTAAGGACATGATCATAAGAAACACAATCCAAATAAAAAAGAGCACGATGTCAAAGTTACAAGGGGAAATACCAGAGGTGAAAATAGGGCACTTCTCGCACCAATAACAGGCACTGACCAGAGATGAAAAAGGCACTTACGTGAATAAAAGATGGGGCATACAATGAGAACGGAAAAGGGGGCGCTTATTACAAAGGAAATTAGAAAGGATATGGGGCACGTGTCAAAATATTATGGGCACTTATTACAGAGTTAAAGGGGGCACCTCTCAAATTTGAATAGGAGCAATCATCGGAGATGACTAGGGGCACTTATAAGAATTTAAAAGGGGGCATACACAGGGAAAGAGGTACACGTCAAAATATAAGAGACACCTCTCAGATTTGAAAAAAAGGCAATTATAAGAAGTGAATTGGCACTTATCAGAGATGGTAAGGGGCACTTCTTGTTCCTGAAAAGGGGCACTCACCAGAAACGAATAGGGTCGCTTATTATAAAGGAAATTGACACTTTTCGAAGCCAAGTGGCACCTATGAAATGTTAATGGAGGCATCTATCAGAGGTGTCAGAAGGGTCATTTATGAGAAGGGGGAAGTGGCTCTTTAAAAAAATGAACAGATATGTCTATTAGAAGGGAAAGGGGCACTTATTAGAAATAAGAAGGCCCGTGTCACAATAAAAGGGGGCACTTATCAGAGGTGACAGTAGCACTCATCAAAGATAAAAGGGGCACTTATCAGAAGGGGAAGGGGCACATATTGCAAAAGGAAAGGACCTTGTTAAAGTAAAATAGGCACCTTACCTCTCAAACTTGAATAGCGGCAATTATTACGGATGAAGGGGGCACTTATCAGAGGTGGTAAGAAGCACTTATAGGAATTTGGAACGGGCACCTATTCGAAATAAAAAGGGGTACTTATCTGAAGTAAAAGGGAAAACCTTTCCGACGTAAAAAGGGGCAATCTAGGGTACCTGAAATAGTTGGGGCACTGTGCCTCCCTGCCCGCCCCTGCTCTGCCGCCCCTGTTCCCATGTAAATGTAAAATGGTCCGATCTGAACAGGTGGTTTATGTGTCATAAAAAAGCACAAGGCTAATGAATGCAGTGATTTACATGTTGTTGCATTGTGCGAGGGACCGAAGCGATCGAGCAAGCAGATTTTCAATTGGGAATATTGAAACTTTGCATTCTAAAATATTCTACAGCCAAATATTCAAACTTACAAAATGTGGTATAACTTACTGAAAAGTACCAGGAATGAAGCCCCACACCCCCGGTTCCCCGGCTAATGCGATAGTTAGTGGGTTAAGGAAAGTTTAAGATCATTATACAATACTCTGTAGGATACTTTTCAGACTCTGGGGTGTAAGAATACAAAGTTTCACTATTAAAAAATGGAACTCTTCTCCTCAAGTCGCTACACTTTGCCACACAGTATAACCTTTTAAAAATTATTAAAATTATCTCCATGATGGTTAATACTGCCTATCCCCAGACGAAAAGAAAGGAAAGTGGATATTAAATAAAGGCCACACTTCAATTTGCCTGTGTGATCAAAAGTGCTTTTAGATGCAGAGTAGGCTTACAAAAAAACAAAAACAAAATCCAACTCGGTTGCTACGCGACTTCGCAAAATGTAATAACGAATTTCCCGACAGCGTTCCTACAATGCGAATTGTTACACAATAAAGTGCATAGTCTTCTATTTTGGGGAAGTGTGAGTGTACCCCCCCCCCCCCCCCCCCTCTAACACGCACATACAGAGGGGCGGCGGACCGTATTTCAAAGTAGGGGCACCATCACAAAAGGATACTTTCTGGAAAAAGGGGGCACTTAGATAGGGAAACCTCAGAGCGAAAATAATACGATGTTAGACATTGGTATATTCCCCTACATTGTGATTATTACATTATCAGGAATTATTTTAATATTTGTTTCACTCTTTACATGGTCCAATATACTGCTTAAGCATCAAACTTTGTAGCTGGGTGTGATGGTCTGAAACTCTGAATATCCATTTTTGAGCAAGCGAAGCGAACGTGTTAAAGTAAGATTTATGAGATCGCATTAAAAAGGACACACCCAATCCTGATGAGGTTTTAATCACAATCTCGTCATAAAAGACTGTAAAGTCTTTAAATAAGTTACAGAGAGAGCATAGCGAGCGAGCTTGAGGGGTGTGATCTTAGTCACGTTAACCTAGGAGAGCACACTTAAGAGAGAAAGGGAAAAGGGGCATTTATCAGAAGGAAAAAAGACACTTATTAGGAAAAGAAAAGGGGCATGTGTCAAAATAATAATGGCAATTATCAGAGGGGGAAGGGGGCACTTATTACAAAGAAAAAAAAGACACCTATCATATTTTAATAGGAGCATTTATCAGAGGTGGAATGGGCGATTTATAAGAAGGGGAAGGGGATCTTATCAAAAAAGGAACAGGAATACTTATCAGACGGACAAGGACACTTATAAGAAAGGGAAAGGGACACGTCTCAACATAAAAAGGGCACTCATCAAAGATTAAAAGGGACAATTATTATTGCAAACGAAAATGGGCAAAAATCAGATTTTAATAGGGGAATTTATCAGAGTTGAAAGGGACATTTATGAGAAAGGGAAGGGGCACTTATCAGAAGAAAAAGTGCACTAATTAGAAATTAATAGGGGCACGTGTCAAATAGAAAAGGATACTTATTAGAAGGGGAAGGGAAACTTATCAGAGGTGGCAAGGAGCACTTATAAGAATGTTTAACGGGGACTTTTTTGAAAAAAAGGAAAAGGGGCACTTATCTGATTTAAAAATAGGCAATTTTCCTTTGTAAAAAATAAGGGCTTTTGGGGGGGTAATTGAAAAAGTGGGGGCGCTTCCCCCCCCCCCCCCCCCGAGTTCCGCCTCTGCCCACATACATACGCATCATCAAGGGATTGATACCGAGTCCTTTCTGGCTCAGTCCCCTCATTATTTATAGGCTCACCACGCTTGCTGATTACATTAAAACTTGAATATATAATTCATTCACGTCGAAACCATGAGCTGTTGAAATGGCTTGGTGGTCTGTCTTCTGGTGTTTTAATTCTGAGTCTCAGGTTCAATTCCTGGATCACGAAAGATCACGACCCTGAATCGAAGAGGACTGAGCCGGACTCAATCTTTCTCTCTCTCTCTCTCTCTCTCTTTCTCTCTCCTTCTCTTCCCTTCTCTCTCCCCTATCTCTCCCTCTCTCTCTCTCTCTCTCTCTTTCTCTCCACTCTCCCTCCGTCTCCATCTAACCCTATAGTGAGCACTAATTTTTTTTTTTTTGGGGGGGGGGCCTCGAAAATTTGAAAAATCACACCCCCCCCCCCCCCCCTTGACCGCCAGAAAAAAAGTTTAACAAAGGTAAAATTAACACGTTTTTTCCCAGGGCGGAGCCCTCAGAAGCTCAGGCGTTTTATACATGGAAGCTCAGGGGTTTGGGGGCGATAAATAACGGTCAGATGAGCATATTTTTAAATCTATTTGTGACACTGGCAGGACTCAAATTGGTGTTGGGTCCAGGGGGCGGAGCCCTCAGAAGCTCAGGGGTTTATACATCAATTTATCGTCAGATGAGCATAATTTTATACCTTATTTGTGACACTGGCATGTCACGAAATGGCGTGGGGTCCAGGGGGCGGAGGTCCTGGAAGCTCAGGGGTTTTGGGGCAATAAATAACGGTCAGGTGAGCATAATTTTATACCTTATTTGTAACACTGACAAGACACAGATTGGTGTTGGGTCCAGGGGGCGAAGCCCCCAGAAGCTCAGGGGTTTTATACATCAATTTATCGTCAGATGAGCATAATTTTATACCTTATTTGTGACACTGGCAGGTCACGAAATGGCGTTGAGTTCAGGGGGCGGAGCCCCCAGAAGCTCAGGGGTGTGAGGCAATATGTTATGGTCAGATAAGCATCCAGGGCCCCGCCTTAGGGTCATTTGTTGGGTTTGGAGGTGGGGCAGAGCCCCGGAAGCTCAGGGTTTAAGCATTAAATTACCGTCAGATTAGCTTCCAGCCGTCCGCCTTAGGGCCCTAGGTGGGGTCCAGGGGGCAGAGCCACCGGAAGTCAAGGGGTTTTAGGCATTTAATTACGGTGAGATGAGTATATGTTGATACCTCTGATATCTTTCCCCTTTTATTTCCTTTTTTTTTTTTCCCTACTTTTTTTCCTTCTTTTTTCTCCTCCTTTTTTTGCCAGGGGGGGGGCGGGCCCCCCCCCCCCTGGATCCGCCACTGCGTCATTTGACGCATTTTTACGCGTTTTTTTACAAACCTGGTTTGTAAAAACGCGTCGAAACGCGTCATATGACGTACGAAATCCAAGGTTCGTCGACAAACCTCCTTTGTGAATTCGGGCCAATAGGTTTTATAAACACACTGTAATAGCACAGACAGGATGGCTTTGTGGGCAAACTACAATCACTTCTCTCATCGATTAAAGAATGTATACTTCACCTCATTCGCTGACTTCATCTCTTCCCACTTCAGAGACTAAGTCATATTCTCTGGTTGAAATAAATCATCTCTTAATCACAGTCCCAAGCAAAAGTGAAGTGGAGTCACTGTTAATGTTTTTATTATATAGTTTGTATTAAGCGATTAAAACAGCGACAACACACATACAGTTCTTACTAAATAGGCGTCCCTTGTTCCAACCTCACATAGAATATACCGGGAAAGACCACAGTCAAGTTCATAGCTTTCCTAATGTTTATATCCAATCGAATTCCCAACGACCACACTGTTTTATATCTTACATCTCTGTCCCTTGTCTCACCTCCAACGCTCAAAATACACGGGGGCGGTGGGCGATTCGCCCCCGTGAGCTCCACAATCGCCCCCGTCAGATGGTTCACGGGGGCGATTGCAAAATTAAAAATCGCCCCCGTGGAATTATAAAATAAAGATTATCTTTTCTGATATAACTTTAACACAATATTGAGTATCAATTTTCAAACCTTAAACCAATAAAATGGAACTAATTAGATGGCGCTTTCTCTCCCATCTCTATGAGTATTACCGATACAAACAACAGAGCTCGCAGTGCAGCTGTAGTGCGGCCGTCAGCAGTGGCTATACTGCGCCGGTAGTACCGGTGTGCACGCTGCTGACGCCCAATATCTGCTGGAGCTGGAGACGATCGCGCAAGGACTGAAACATGGAGAAGTTTTTCGTTGTGAAAAGTGTGAATCCTCTGAAATCTGGTTATTCTAAAAGATTAGCAAATAATGTAACTCGACCAGTAAATCAATATTGAGAAGAAGATCACCAAAGATGTTGCAGGGGCGGATCTAGGCGGTTTAGGGGGTTTATATAACCACCCCCCCCCCCTCCCCCCGTGGGCTGCCAAGTGAAAATGTGATGTGCATAGAAAAATGCTATCATGTGTCATTGTGTCCAGACCTACACAGTATTAGTAGATGTCAGTAGATGCCAGGAAAATATCACTAATTAACGGGGGTTCAAAATAGCGCCAAAAAATCACCTCGCCGCTTCGCGGCTCCTCGACGATGCTCCGCATGTTTGTAGATGCCAGGAAAACGGGGGTTCAAAATAGCAACAACAAAAATCGCCTCGCCGCTACGCGGCTCGTGGACGATGCTCCACATCGTATTTGGGTTACCCCCCCCCCCCCCCCCCCACCCTTAGCAAAAAGCTAGATCCGCCGCTGTGTTTTGGAAGGATATGGTAAAAACTAAAAGTAAAGAAAGAATGTAAATAAGGTTGCTCCGAATAATGAGGAGGACATTGTGTGCAGAGCGGGAAGAAATGGAGAGAATGTCATCACGGAGATAAAAGTCAATAACACGTATGTAACAAGTAAATTTCTAAGAGGGAAAATGCCGACTTAAATAAATGATAATGATAAAATACCAAGGAATTTAGGAGTTTCATGGGTACCAATTCAATGAAAATTTGTATTAAAAAAGAGCCCCCGTCGGTACTAAAAGAGCCCCCGTGAGAGGGCTCACGGGGGCTCTTTTTTTTTTGGAAGAGCCCCCGTGGACAAAAAATTAATTTGAGACTTGCTCACCTCCCTGCTTTAACCAGGGAGTTGGAACTCCCTGCTTTAACTAAAATCCCTGAACTACGTACCTCCAGAAGGAAGTCAAATTTTCCAACACACAAGATCTTTGAACATGTATCTGTAACCTTTTTAGCATGTAAAGTAAGCATGGCATTTATGACAAGGCTGGAAACGAGAAGTTGAATACTCGCTAAATGTCGCTAAATAGATCGGTTTACTAACGAATTCAATGATGGACGTTTATTTCCTTGGGAATAACCTGATATTCGTGAATGAACGTCAATACTTGGAATCCAGTCTGCATATATTATTTGTTGCTATGTCGGGCAACCTCGGGCAAGCTTTCAGGATGTCAAGAACAACATTTCTTTAAACAGTATACATAAAATTTGAATATGTTAGTATTATAATTATACCTCTTTATTTAAAATTTCGATTGATAGGCCATTTTCGTAATGTAACTAAATCTGTGCATTTGCCTTTGTGATTCTCCTCGATACGAATTGTTTCATTCACCTGTTACAAATATAATTATATGTATCTCTATAGTCAGAATTCAAATTGCATACGTTAGTTGTTGCTAGGTAGGACGAACATTATGGCTTGCCCTTCCTAACAACACGTTATATATACATGTGATTTGAATTCCGAACATTGAAATACAATAATAATTATTCGTTACAGGTGAATGAAATAGATTTTTAGAGGGAAAATTTGAAATTTATATTATCAATATAATGAAAACAATTAGTGAATAGTGAGGCAATGACGTCACAGACTTATGAGTGAGTTGCCAATTTGTCTTGTGATTTTCAAACTTTTCCTGTCATTAAAAATTCATAACTTTCTTATTGGTTTTCCGATTTTGCTCAAACTTTTGTTGATAGGCTTGTCTGATATTTTGCTTCTATTGAAAGAAAGTCATTTTTGGAGTGGACTTGCCCTACTTACTGCTGCTGAAAGATGAATATTACATAAAATACGTATTTGGCCACAGTTAATGTGGAGTTTCATTTCATTCAAGAATAGTTAATGTGGAGTTTCATTTCATTCAAGAATAAATATTTCAAAAAGCACCTGAACCTGTGAACGTATGACAGTCATTCAAGAAATATTGCAAACTGTATTTAAACATGGTTTTAATAGAATGTAGAATTTAGTACTGGTTACATTGAAATGATGATGCTGAGCAGTTACTACATATATCAGGCGCGGATCCAGGATTTCTTAGGGGAGGGGGCCCAACTTTTTTTTTAAATTTTTGCTCCCGAAAATGTGAAAATCGCGCCGGCCGAAAAGTCGATCAGTGGGGGGGGGGGGGGGTAGTGAGCACATTTTTTTTTTTGGGGGGGGGGTCCTCGAAAATTTAAAAATTTGCACCCCCCCCCCCCCCCCCCTTGAGCGCCAGGGGGGGCCAACCCCCCAAAATGGTAAAAACTACGTGTTTTTACATGATTTTTTTCTCAAGGGGGGCGGGCCCCCGGGCCCCCCGGGTCCCCCCCCCCCCCCCTGGATCCGCCACTGACATATATCGTAGTCATATCGTGATAAACCTGGAATGAATTTAGGTAGGCAACTTTACTGTTAATTCAGTGATGCTCAGCAATAAAAAAAAATGCTTTTATAAATGGATTAGTTGTATGCTAGGTGTTACAAAATGATCAAATTTAAAATTAGATTTTCGAATCGTCGACAAACAGCATTCACTCAGCAAAACGGTATAGTAGGCTGAATGCAAAAAAAAATCTCTTTTCTAGGATTTTGCCTGCATCGCAACACATTTTGGTGAGGGGAGTAGGAAGTACAGCAAAATTGGTTCTTCTTACATTTTTGTGAGGGATAAAAACCAGTTTCTGACCATTTTCTCGACGCTTTTAACTTTAACTTGGATATCAGTAGTGTGCTATCGATTTTTACACAATTCACAAATTTTACAATTTATAACTCTATACGCTAATTGAGCTAATCTCTCATTCTAACTTATATTTATTTACGTTCTTAATAGTCACTCGTGAATATTGTCCTATATATTCTATATTACAGAACTACGCATCATCAGCAATAGACAAGTACATTGAACATTATTTCCTTACTGACCCCACATAATACTTATGTACAAATTTTGTTCTCGGTGTGCTACAATAGCTACAGTTATAAAATAGAAGTGAAAGACTAAATTTCAAGAAGAAAACATCAGGAACAGATATCAGATTAATAACAATTGCACATGATTATTGAAAAGACACAAAGTTCTTGGCATAGTAGAATGCCTCACTCGGGAATTAATGAAGATAATTATACTGAAGTAATAAACATGTATAATAATGTAAAACCACTCTTCCGTATACAGTTACAATATGCACATAACGATAATTTCATATCCATTCTAGAATTCAATCAAAGGTGATGACAGGGATACTAATAACAATGATGATGATATTGATGGTAATAATGATAATAATAATGTTAAAATGTGTCATGTTCCGAACAACTTGATCCGAACATAATAATCTTCAGACTTTTTGCCTCAATATAATGGAATAACAATAAACTCGATACCATGACTGATCATTTTGATTGAAATAATATTATTTTCTCTCGTTAATAGAATCATGAGAATATCATGTTTGAACCTTAACCATTTTGAAAACTCTGATTGGTTTAAAGAGTTGTTACATATGATACAAAATAAATTTCTAAATGAGATTATGATAAACATCAATCATCAAGTTGTTCATTTCTTAGCAGTGAGTACGTTGTCTTCAAACTGTTTCATCACGTTTCCTGGAGGTCGAAAGAAAGCCACAGTGAGGACCTTGCCTTCCTTGGTGATCGATTTACCAATGCCAAACTCCTGACTGCCCTTCCATACCATTTGAGTAAAGTGTCCTGAGAAACAAAAGCAAAATTGATTTTCAGGCTGGCCTATATTAGTAGCATATTTAGTATTTGTAGTAGTATTGGTAGTAGTAGTAGCATCAGAAGTATTAGTAGTATTAGTAGTAGTAGTAGTAGTAGTAGTAGTAGTAGTAGTGGTGGCAGTATTACCAGTATTAGTAGTAGCATCAGAAGTAGAAGTAGAAGTATAGTAGTAGTAGTAGTAGTGGTGGTGGTGGTGGTAACGTAGTAGTAGTAGTAGTAGTAGTAGTAGTAGTAGTAGTAATACTACTAGCATCATATACAACCGTTTTTAAAGGCTCATTTCTTTTTCATTTTAGATTCACATTGTTTTGTAAGTTCTCGATGCGAACAAGCGAGAGAGATTCTGAGTCTTCATCCATAATTCATAAGGGTATGGGATCAATTTTCTTTGAATAATTTTTCAATAGTAATTTTAAAAATCAGGAACATTTTCATGGTTACAAATTAGTAAAGGGGGGAGGGGTTCTGAATGATTCTATATGATGTATGGCATGTCTCTTTATTGTCACTTACCTGCACCTGAAGTGAATCCAGGTTTCTTGAAGTCATATTTATCAATTTGTTTGTACCACATGTCCACAACTTCTTGACCTGTACAAGAAACACAAAGAAATAAAAAATCTAGGTATAAAACATCATAATGACAAGATATTCTTTCAAATGTTAAAGGTATTATGTCCCATTTGCAGGCCAAAAAAATGAAAAGATTAAATTCCAATGGCATTTGAAAGATAATACTAATTTATAACTTCCCTAAAAAAAAGGGGTGGGGCTGGAAAATGTCTTTAAGTGGGAAAATAACGACTATTAGTTGTCGGATCGACTTAAGAGCTATAGAGCCAGTAAGTAATAGTCTGATTTTCAGACCATTGTACCGAATGGTCATACGTTTTATGCAGCGCACAGATTCAATCAGTTTAATTTTGGCCATTACAAGAAGTGGGTTATTGATGTAGACAAAATGCTCATGTACACTTTACAGCTCATTTTATGTATGTTATTACCAAAAAAGAAAAATAGCCAGTCAGTCACTCAATAGTGTCTGACAGTGCAGTCTAGCAAACAAACGGGTTTCCTTGCATAATTTGAATACTAGGACACTGCTAACGTTTAAATTTCACAGATAGGACAAACATGACATATTCATAATTCCTGCAAAGTTCTACAGAATTTGATGTTGGCTACAAAAGAGACATGGTATCTTTAAGTAGTGGGAATGCATATGGATATAGTTTACGTTAAAAGTACAGTTTTCGCTTTGAGCTGGTAAGTAAATACATATATATATATGTGGGATGTAAGATTAATGAGGTAAAGTCCTAGCATTTCTTCTTCCAAATCCGGCATTACAATTATTTTAAAAACCAAGTAAAACTCCTGTAACACCATGTATCTGTTAGAGTCTAGGCAGCCTTTCAATTTGGTCTCTGCATGTTTTCTTTAATCTCGTACAAGTCTTGTTATTTTCTCCCTATGCTAGTCTGCTAATATTGAATGCATATAATTAATATTTTTACCTGAAAACTCTGTACTAGCGCTGTTGTAGTGCATCGCAATATTCTCGCCTACATCTTTCTCACTGCTGTTTTTAAACTCATCTTTCTTAGCTAGTTGGGCAGCGAAATCCTGAGCTCGTTTCTCAAGTTCATCTGCTTGCTTGAGTTTAGAAACGGAATGTTTTTGTCGGATCTTATTAAGAGCAGCCAATGTATCTTTCTGGAATGTCTTCAGATCAGCTGGTGATACGTCTGCTTCTTTCAACTTCATTCCACCCATCTAAACACAGAATAAAAAACATGTTGTATACAATTCTCATAAACAGTGTTGTTCATGCCATTGATTTGATTAAAGTTGTCTGCATTCTGCTTAAACCCGAAAGAAATTAAATATATGAACATCTTACTTTGGTTAAGTATAGGTATTCATTATAAGTATCGCTGCCGGATTGGAGGAAAAAAAGGTTTTCCGTCGGAAAGGAAAACCCACTTTGAAATCCAAGTTAATTTGAATAAAACTAAAGAAGAAAATGAGAGGCGTCAAGTACATGTAGATGAAAGTTAAAATTGAATTGAATAAAAATAAAGCTGTAAATTTCCAATCGGGAAACATAACTAAACACATTGGTAATTGTATGACTTTTCGTATGACCATATTTCCGTATGACAATATCACTGTAGTATTCTAGATGTGGCGGGGGGGGGGGCAATAACAAAAGAATATAGAAGAAATAGCATTACTGTTTTCACATAGCTGGTTATCCATGTTAGGCCCTATAGAAAACAATTATTTTTCTAATTGTTTTAAAGGATGTCCCATTTTGCCTTAAACACTAATTCACGCTGCAAGTATAAAATAATACGCTGCAGTATGATTAATATGCAATTATATAAGAGCAAGATTGTATGCTTGTTAATAATCAAATCCTGGGAGATAGCATGACTCATCCTTTACTTCAGGTTTAAAGATACCATAGCATTGTCCTATTCAAAGAGAAATTGAATTTGAATTGGTTGAATAGGGTCTCATATCGTTACATTTGCATAAAAATGTTATGTGCTAAGTAGATATTTTTACATTCCGTCCATGATTTCTGTTGACTTTGAATGTAACTGAGAAATCTTGATTTCTATTTACGATGAATATTCGTATATAGGGATTTACTTCACACCAGCCAACCTGACGAACATTTTGTAACAATGTCATGAAAAATGGTAAAGGAAGCCTTGTATACCTTTTTGATAGTGTCATTGACTTCAGCGGCTTTGACCTCTCGACTTGGTCCAGACTCATATTCAGTAGATCGTACAACACGAGTAACTTGGCTTGATTCCTTCTCAGGTGGTGGTGGAGGCATGTATCCGTCGTCTCGTTTGGAAACATTTCCTTCAAAGTGGTCGATGATGTTACCAGGAGGTCGATACTGACCCACGATGATAACCTTACCATCACGGGTGATTGCCTTCCCAATACCAAACTCACGAGAACCTTTCCATACCATCTGAGTGAAGTGCCCTAAAAAGAATATTGCCATGGAGACCTCATCAGGTTAAGTTCCCCAGTGAATTCTTACTTCACTAATTGAGAATAATGCTCAATGAATGCTTCAAAGAGAATCATAATGTTGGATAGCGCAAGGGCATCAATATTACTAATATTTAAATTAGCATTAAAAGTCAGCTAAGTTCATTTGACCATTAAGGAACCTCTTTTGTTTTGCGGGAAAGTTCTGAAAGCTAACACTATAGCTTAACACTACGTGATCCTAAATCTCTAATTGGTTAGTAAACCAGAAATCTGAATATTTTAAGTAAAAGTACTGCCCAATCAGAGTTAGATTGAATTTGTTAAATGATGACAACAGGACGTAATAACGGATTGATATAATGCTTTGCTGTCCATACGGTCTGGAACGTCCGATGTTTTGTATGGCATGCAGCATGTGACCATCTATCGTATTGTCAGCAGATTTTTAATATGAGTCATTACAATAAAATTACACTGTACAGAATCTCTTCAAGACCAACGTTAAATGTATTACTTACCAGCTCCCTTAGTGAATCCCGGCTTCTTAAAATCATAGTTATGAATCTCACTGTACCAGTGGGCTGCAGCTTCCTTCCCTGTAAAAACAACAAGACGAATTGAGATGGTCTATTAAAACAACAAGAAAAGCTGATATTGCACAAAGGTTGGACAAAATTAATCATATCATAATAAAATCACTAAAATACAAAGAGTACATGACAAATATTATTATCATTGACTACTACTACTACTACTACTAATAATAATAGTAGTAGTAATAGTAGTAATGAGCCGTAATTTTCATTCAGAAATTTGGCGGGTCCAGACCTAGATTTTGGGACCGCATGTTTCCCGAGCTCCTATTATCCTAGATTTTCATACATCAAAAATTGTGACAGGAGTTATCAAAAGTTGACAGCTCTGACAATAGTCTGAATAAAAATAAAATGAGATGAAAAAATCGCAATTGTTATGTTTTTTAATCCTACTTTTTTGGGGCAAAATAAAAATCGATTTCCTGGGCAAGAAGTAATGTATCTATATATACCTGAATATTCAGTAGAAAGACTGGAATAATGCATGGCCACATTCTCCCCGATGTCGTTCGCTTTGCTATGCTCAAAGAGGTCGTGCTTTGCTAAATGTTTAGCCCATTTTCGCGCCCTCTTTTGTAGATCACGTGATTGTTCCAATGGTGGTGCTCCATGGTGACGTCTATATTCATTGTGTGATGTCATAGCTTGTTTGCTGAAATCTTTATGCTCTGATCTAGACACTTTAGGAAGGCCGCTTGACTTCTTGGATTTCTTCCTCAAAACACCCTAAGTACAAAAAAAAATTGCGACAAAATGGAAAGAAAATAGGGAGTTATTTTTATTTCTTTTACATTCAATTTTTGTTAAACAAAAAGAAGAAATTGGAATAAGGCCGGCACTGATATTTAAGGGGATATGTGCATGATTTTGGGGGAACAAGGGTGCTAGTTCTCATCGTGGCATACAAAACATACAATTCTCAACAACTCTTGGTAAATGTGCACAACAACCTTGGGTAAACTTTTTTCTTCTCTCTTTGTTAGATAATTTGTAGTGGGAAGGCATCAACAATGTGCTATCCCCTTTTTCACTGTTTTGGGGGTCAGAAAATCTTCTGCATTAATTGCCCCCACCATTACAAATCCTGACCCCACACTCAGCCACAGTACGCTATAAAGAACAGCAAGGCGGGCTTATTATACCACATGTCCCATTTCATTATATAAAGATAAAATGTTTCTCTTTAAAAATAGGGCTTTTTCTTATTACTGAAAGATGACATTTTAAAATAACCGAAGATGTCTAATTTTACTGTTCGATTTGAATATTCAGACAACTGAGAAGTAGGACCCTTTGAGCCTATCACGGGGAATGTTTCTAAACGTCTAGAAATCAACCAAACTATACTTTCGCAGTGCCCCCTTCAAATAAATACAACCGTTTGAAGCTTCTACAGTGCACTAGTTTTTTAAACAACAAAAAACTACTCTTGATTGTCAATACCTTAGTCTTTGTATCATCATCACTGCTGCTACTGCTACTACTGCTGGATGAACTGATAGACCCTCTTCGACCTTTCTTCTTTTCTTCCTTCTTCTTCTTCTTTTCTATCTTCTCAGCGAGTGGCGGGAACACATTCTCAGGAAAGTTGCCGCTCATGTTTCCGGGTGGTTTATAGTTCCCGACTATGATCACTTTCCCGTCCTTTGTGACAGCTTTGCCGATCCCAAATTCTTTACTCGATTTCCAGACGATTTGAGAAAAATGACCTGCATGTTTGGTGAAGGAATATTCAGTAGGGAATAAGTAACATATTAGAACGTGCAGATTATGTATCGAATTTGCAAATGGAAAGAAAACAAGCCGATATGTGCAATCCAATCCAATAATATCCAACTAGTAAAAATCCCCTTCATGCCCTTTGTAACTGTTCCTGATTTTTTTTATAATTTCGATTGTATGATGGTGTCCTTTATTTACTAGCCTTGTGTTTTCTAAATGTATTCTCCAATCTAATGTTTTACCGAATTTGGAAATACAGTTTTTAATTATGTCTTATTACTTGTGGACAATTAACAAAGAGAAAATATTTAAATGAATATAATATCAACGAGTCTCCATGTATAGAAAACTGAAACGTTAGCCATACACTTTTCATTTCATTGCATCTTTGTAACTCAAGTGTTTATTATTCAATTCATTTGTCAGCCCCTGTGTTTTTAGAGGTTTCTAGTCATGCTACTTCCTATTGACAAAGTGTGGTGTATGAGCTAGATAGGGTGATATCGACCCAACCTTGAAATATGTTTGGAAGGGGCGCTCTGGGGGCTGGACCCGACGGCTACGGTCAGGCTGGCATACATTTTGTCAATGAATTTGGTCTAAGATTTTTTATTTTTTATTTACGTGATCTAGACGGAGTTGTCGAGTCATCCTGCATTGTAGCCCTATGCATATTATACCCTAATATAATTTTATTCTCAATATTTAGCATAACTTACAAGTCCATCGTTCTTTTTCCAATGATATATGATATATAGTTGATGATACATACCAGTGCCTTGTCGGAAACCGGGTGAACTAAAGTCATACTTGCTGGACTCCTGGTACCACAGATCAGTCGCATCCTGGCCTATAATACAGGTAATCAATGAAAGGAAGATTATTGAATTACAACTAAACAAAAGACTTACTCTGTCTTCATGAGAAACAGGCCTACAGTGATTAGGAGCGGTGATACTGAAGGGAGAGGAATGTGAGTTTACAGAGCACAATACAGAGTTATGTATCATTTGAATCAGTATATAATAGAAGAAGTGTGGTGGATCAGTGGTAGAGCAATGGTTTCGTAACGTCTCATATCTTCCTTAATGTTAGCGACCCTCGAATAGGAATTAAAGCTGTAGGTACCCTTGGTTGCTTACTGGCTACATGCATGACTTGCTACTTATGTAAAGTAAAATATGATCCCGTCATTCACATTAAGGAAGATCATGGATCATAGAAGAAAAAAGGCCAATCATAAATAAGCGCACGAATGAACAGGAAGATTTGTGAACTTAGATTTCTGGATAAAAATTCAGTGTGATACACTTGAAGACCTTAACATATATCAGGGCATAAAGTCTCACCTCCCTGCATATATATACTGTCTTCTGATACTTGCATGTTTGATCAAATGAATTCAGTTTTGATTTAGATGGAGGTTCGAATATGATATATTAATTAATTACAGCAGATGAAGTAAAGGAAAACGTTCTGAGCGTTTACGGAAAGGTGTAATGTGGCAGTCAGTGGTCATGTTGCATTGACTTTCAATCGAAAGATTAAGAGTTCGAATCCTTTCTGACTTTAAGCTGAATATTATGGTAAATGGTATGGATATATTCACCACCATGCACTGTCTCCTTGATAATGGGGGGGGGGCTATACACATATGAACTTATTTACAAAGCCCATTGGACTTGATACATAATTATGATAAAATACGTAATGAAAATATTACTTCTATCACGATTTAGATGGAGGTTCGAATATGATATATTAATTGATTACAGCAGATGAAGTAAAGGAAACGTTCTGAGCGTTTACGCCTGGAAGGTCAACTAGTAAGGAAATGGAAAATATTTTAAGGTTTGGGAATTTACAAAACAGCACCGTCCTAAAAACAAGAAAGCCTGTCCTTTTAGAAGAGTTAACGCATTTCATCGTAATAGCGGAAATTTGTTGATGTGGAAAGATTCCAGGATCTCGTATTGGGGGGGGGGGGGGTTGGAGAAGACATCCATTTCAATATTTTCAGAGTTTTATACCCCATTCACACCAAGGAGATTGAAGCTGACAAAATATATTGGTCACAGAGGATAAGGAGTGATAATTTAAATACATACCAGAAAATTCAGTGGATGCTGAGGAATAGTGCATGCCAATGTTCTCTCCCAGCTCTCTGTTATTGCTGTGGCTGAACTTTCCGCTTTGACTCAGATGTTCTGCCCATCGTTGAGCATGGTCATTGAGATCATCGGATAGCTTCAAGCTGGATACACCATGAACATCCCGATATTTGTTATGTGAACTCAGTGCCTCTTTACGGAAAGATTTCAAGTCAGATTTCTTCGACATGATGTTAAATCACTGGATCTTATACAAAGAAAGACACAAAAAGGACTAATCAAAATATTAGCTCTACTTGAACTATCCGATAATTTGCTCTGTAGAGTAGAATCAACACAGCTACACTAAATTTTGCTCAATGTATGTTTTTTTTTTTTTTTTGAAATTGATGTTTACATGTTAACAATAGGAGACAGTATTATCCTGAAAGAGATAATTAATGTTAAATGCTTTTGTAAGTTAATATTATCAATCATTCTGGGGCTTTACAGTACAAAAACGATAGATGATTCGAGGACATTCATCTTTACCACACTTTTGCAACCGATGCTATATATTACGTTGGTGACGAAAACGGATGAGACAAATATAATTCAGTGTTATAACATGTGAAGTTTTAGAAGACATACATGTATTAAGAGAAAGGTGAGCTCAATTGGCATATGATGCAATTTATGCTCAATTACGTGATGATGATGATGATGATTATGATGATGGTATATAGCAACTACTATATTACTACAACAAAAACTACTACTACTACTACTACTACTACTACTACTACTACTACTACTACGAACAGTAGTACATGTACTACTAATATTGATAATAAAACTACTTTTACTTCTTCTACTACTACTACTACTACTACTACTACTACTACTACTATTACTACAACAACAACAATCTCAACTACTTCTACAACTATACTACTACGAATATTAATACTATTACTACTACTTCTGATACTACTTGTTCTACTACTACTTCTTATAGTTTCGATTTCCCAAAACGTAATGATCAGTTTCAATGACAATGGAAGATTCAACGCTTGTTATTTTGTTCACATTCATACCATATTTTGATTACTAACAATGCTAGTTGAAAATGTGTATTGATATTCAATGAGATGTCGTTATAGCTGCTTACCCCAATACATGAGAAGAAAACAAATATTCTGTTTCGAAGCTATGCTCATAATCCGCCATGTACGTGTACACTATAAAATGTATGGTGATATACTGCTCATCATCAAATGATGTGAAAAATATCGATTGTTGATTGTCAATGGAAGAATCTATAACACCTGATCGAGTCCAGTGATGTCTGAATGGCAGATGACTTCAACTATTGATTAGTAGTAGGCCTTGAACAGTGAATAGGATCACACGTCAAGTATACCCGTTCAATTCACCCGTAAAGCGTGTGTTTTTGGACAGATTCAATTCTGTTTTAATGGTTTACATGTTTACCTTGGCGTACATGTATCGGTTTGTTAAGGGCAAAGTCTACCATGTGATAAATTCCAGGCTCAGGCTAGCTAGACTCATACATTGCTTATTCAAAGAAAACTTAATGTTAACAATCATGATGAATGATAATGATGATGATGATAACAACAACAACAACAACAACATTTAGATTAATAATAATCATTATAAAAATTAAAAACAATAACAAATAGCTTCAACAACAACATTAACAAGAACCACAAAAAATGATACTTATAAAACAATGCGGGTAAGGAAAATAGATACTATTCATAAGTAATTGATTTAAAAGCCCCTTCCTCATAATAAGAAGCGCAAATACATGTATAAATCTATGTCCGAAATTGTCAACTTTTCAGTTTCTACATTGTGCAAGCATCCGCAACGGGCGAGAACAAGAACACAGGAAAATCGAAGTAAAGAAGAAACTTTAAATTGTTATCGCATTCTACTCATGTGATGGACGAGCACTTTCTCTAAATTTTAGAATAATTGCTTTGGAAACTGAGCCAACTATTCTCCTTTATTAAAAAAAAAAAACCCTATCGCCTCTACTCTTGCAAAATCAATAGCCTTTTGCGCTATATATACCTGACATGACTAAAAGGAATCACGCAATCCGAACTTGATTTCTATGAGACATACCTATTGAAATTGCCCCTGTCTGACTTGATTTTTCGAAAATAGTTGCGATTGTGTTAAACTTAATTTGGATTAGATTTGGAAGATTTTGAGACACTCTTTAAAGGCGACTTTAAAAATATATAAACATGATGAAGGACCTACATCCAAACAAAATCATTGATTCATCGTAATCACTTTCTAGAAAAGGAATCTTCTTTAGCGGAAATCAAATCAGAAATCTTGAACGAGACGTGTCGTACTATGCAAAGATTTCTTATGGCCTATTAATAGAAATATATAATCACGACCCTAAAGAATCTCACGTGACAAGGTCTTAAAATAAAGAATGGTGATAACAGAACGAAACACATTATGAACATAGACGAGAGATTAATACTGTGTGGAAAATCCATATAAATAACCCTTGAAATATCCACTAACGCTTCAAAATAAAGATAATAGTATTACTGTGGTAATCCAAGAGAATGTTACCTGAACGTTGTCTTCCTCCTGGTATTTGAGTGAGTTGTGAAGAGACCTACCCTTCTTTTATTTCCACTCTAACCCACACCCATCCTACACCAATCACTAAGCAAGTTTACTTAGTGTCAATAAATTCTACATCTCTTGTGATAATAAAAGACCAAACAAGTAATCACTCTGCTATGCAAATAAGTGATAAATATCAGACAGACATGTTCGTTTTGATCTGATAACAACATAATGGCTAGATGGGAGAGAAACATAAAAATATTTGGAATATTTGACACAAATTCTGTTTATGATTTGGGCACTAAATTCTTGTTCGTTGGACTTTCATAAAAAATAATCACATTGTATACAGGTACATGTCACCCCTTTATGATGATTTCCGGTTATGCCACTTTATAACCTCATAATAATAAGTTTGATTATCATCTGGCTATATCAGTGAAAAATTGTTAAATCTCTATTTGGCGAATAATATTGAGGAGTAACTGCTTTAATTATTACCAAAATCAGAATGAAGCAGACTGCATGCCTTTTAATGCACATTTATAGAGACAGTGGTGTTCAGTGATATATTTTCATAGAAACACTACCAACGTTGTATGGACATTATGTTTCAATTTCTTTTGAAACACTGTGTATAAGTCCAGAAAGTTTGAATGGCCAGAATCACTCAAGCCAACTGTTAATAATTAACTTCATTTTCGTAGGCCTTCTCAATGTGGGGGAAGGTATTTTTAAGGGATGGGCAGAGTTTTGGTGATATAGATCTCTTTAACCTCCTGACGCGTTGACAAATATTTGAATTATACCAATGTCAAGTAGGTACTTCGATGATGCTAGGACCTTAATCAAATGCTAACTAAAATTAATATTGAATTTATAAGGTCAGCTACCAGCACTTACACTAAATGAAAAAGTTGGGAATAGCGGCCTTTCTCCCAAAGTTTTAGATTTAAGAGCATGAGAAACTTCTCACTCAGAGAAAGAATTCTAACTAAAAATGAGGTACATTTATTTGAAGGACAGAGAATCAAGAAAAAATTTAAAGTTTCATGAGGACACCAATAAAGAATGGAATGAAAGAAAGTTGAAATCATAGATGAATATGATTTCCATTCATTTGGCGAACTGGCAATATTATCGGACTATATACTGGTCTAAGTGAAAAAATAATTTGTTGAATCGATGTATATTAAAACAAAAATCGAAGAAAAACATTTTATAGGCGCATTGAAAGAAAATGTTCACATTCCATTTTGTTAAGGAAAATTTAATTCAATATCTGATTTAATTGGTTATCGTGATTTCTATGCCACATAAAACTCAAAATGTCACTATATTTCTTCATACAAATTCTAGTAAGCCTACATTTTATATTTATCCCTCTATCTTACCCCCCCCCCCCCCCCTTCCCCCTCCGCCAAAACAGCCAACACCATCCCCTGCTGCAGACACAAACTTAACACTCAAACACAGTTTCATAGCACCTTTATTATACTCCGGCGCGCCGGTGACTGGTTAAACATATTCAGGTTGTTTAACTCACATCGGTGTAGGTCTGTCATTGAGTTCTAAGCAATTCAAACCCCCGGAAGCTCAGGGTTTTTAGGCATTAAATAACGGTCAGATAAGCGTATTTAGATAACTTATTTGTGACACTGACATGTCACTCATTGGCAGGGAGTCCAGGGGGCAGAGCCCCCGGAAGCTCAGGGGCTTTAGGTATTTAATTATGGTTAGATGAGCATCCAGTGGCCCTCGCCATTGATGTGGTCCAGGAGGCAGAGCCCCTGAAGCTCAGAGGTTTTAGATATTTAACTACGGTCAGATGAGCATCCAGGGGCCTTCCTTAGGGCCGTTGGTGGGGTCCAGGGGGAGCCCCCGGAAGCTCAGGGGTTTTAGGTATTTAATTACGGTAAAGATGAGCATACAGTGGCCCCTCTTTAAGGCCATTGATGTGGTCCAGGGGGCAGAGCCCCCTAAAGCTCAGAGGTTTTAGATATTTAACTACGGTCAGATGAGCATCCAGGGGCCTGCCTTAGTGCCTGCCCTTGCTGGGGTCAAGGGGGCAGAGCCTACGGAAGCTCGGGGGGGTTTAGGTATTTAATTACGGTCAGATGAGCATCCAGGGAAGCGCCATAGGGCCCTTGGTGGGGTCCGGGGGCGGAGCCTCCTGAAGCTCGGGGGGGGTTAGGTATTTAATTACGGTCAGATGAGCATCCAACGTAGCGCCCTAGGGCCCTTGGTGGGCTCCGGAGGGCGGAGCCTCCTTAAGCCATGGGGTTTTAGGCATTTAATTACGGTCAGATGAGCATATTTTTATACCTCATTTGTGACATTGACAAGTCACTTATTTTTTTCTCTCTCTTTCTTTCTTTTTCTCTGTAACATACTTTTTCAAAAAGTGAGGGGGGCTCGAGCACCCGAGCCCTGCCGTTCGGCAGGCCCTGACATGAAGGCTTCTAAATAAGCTTATTTTTCGCCCGACTGTAAATTTGGGAATTTCAAATTTTCAAACAAAAATCATGTCATTTCAGCAACATTTGTAAATCACTGGTATCGAATAAGAAATAACCCCACCCCCCCCCCCCCCCGATTAGTATGCCAGCGTTCAGGTGCTCACCTCAGTCCTCACCCCTATAACAAAAAAAACACACACGCTTTCCCATCCTCTCACAAATATTTCCATGATATGCGCGTATCGCTATTTTAAAAACCTCCATTGATAAATATAGGTGGCATGCGGAGTGTTTAGGAAATTTAATTGCTGTTAACTTTCCTGTTCTTTGAATGGAATTTTATATGTGATTTGATTGGGTTAAAAATACAAACCATCTTTACTCCTTTACCACTTCCGGCGCCTATGTCAGTCACCATAGTGTATGACCCTATATGGTTTCTACTTTGTATGGCTCGACTGTAAACACACCTACTCAAGTAATATAACCTTTATTATAGGCAAGAAGAACCGTTGAATTACCAGCTTTGAATTGATAGCTTCACCATCTGTTCATATTCATTATGATGGAAATATTCCCCAGGTCTATTGATCATTGCACTATCTTACATGGAAAGGTACCTACCCGTGTCTTCATACATGTATGAATGAGAAAGGCATCCATGATTAACAGATAGATACTCTGGTTTTTATATACTGTGTGTGCCCTTGGCAAAACTGCACTCATCTAGGAGTTCATTTGACGAAAGTAAAGGATTATTTTATTTAAGATCTCAGAACGTTTAAAAAAAATATATATATATATATATTAGGAATATTCTAGTTCTATACAAAGCTCAAAAAATTGAAAATAATTAAGTAACCGAACCACAATCTGGAAAGTTATCTGCTTCTCGATATCAAAAACACGCTTACAAAAAACACACAATTACTTTAACATGACTGAGGAAAGTTAGTAGAAGAAAAACACATCAATATGATATCTCCACTCTCACGAGAATGCCTAATGGCTGGAAATACACTTCACGAAGCAATATATAAAATTCATCATTTGATGAGCAGTATATCACCATAGATTTAATAGTGTACACGTACATGGTGGATTATGAGCATAGCTTCGAAACAGAATACTTGTTTTTTCTCATGTATTGGGGTAAGCAGCTCTATTTGTTATAACATAATAATAAGTATTATAATGACATCTCATTGAATATCAATAAACATTTTCAACTAGCAACTATAATCAATATATTTCATGACTCAAACGAAAAGTAAAACTTAGAATTTATATAATGTAAAAAAATAAAACGAAGCAGACCATTTCAGGAATCAGTAAAATAATATCACAAAATATTTATAAATAGCTACAACTCTTGACAACA